ATAAATTAAGATTTAATTGTATGGTATAGTTCATTTTCTTAGTTGGGGTTTGTGTCCAACATTTATATAAAGCTAGCATTATTCACAGCGGTCCAACTTTCAATGGCATCGAAATAGGTCATGACTCGTTTTAGAATTGATTGTTGCATAAAGGACCTACTACCTATTAAAGCATCGAAATAGGTCATGACTCATGTTAGAATTGTGTTAAATTAAAACTCTAGTTTGACATGCAATAATAATGTACGGTTGGTTTGATTCAAAGGAAGGAGAGATGGGTGGAGGTTAGATAGAAAGTAAAAAATAAATTTTTTATGGGAAATTCTTTTGACACAGAGAAGCACTAAACGGGTCGAATCTAATTCAAGATGTTTATCTTAAATCTGATGTGATGATGATTAAAAAATAAAAATAGCATTTTCTTTGATACATATATTTACAAAAATACCATTTACTTTGATACATATAATTACAATTTCTCATAAGATTTGTAATTATATTTAAATTGTACTGCCATATTTATGTATGTGTAATTTATATGTATATATGAAGGTGCGGAGCCAGAAATTAAATTCAAGGACACATAGTTAAAAAATAATAATAATTCAATAACCATGACAATAAATATAGATTCTTCAGATTAAGTGGCAAAGAATAAAAAATTATTACAAAATACTATGTATTATAGTATAGGAAAGATAAAAAGTGAAAAAAAAAAGAAAAAAAAGAAGAAGAGAACTTTGGAAGGAAATAAAAATAGAGTTTGATTCAAAAAGGAAATTTAATTTTTTTTTAAAAGGAAATTAAACGAATTTAAAGACTAAAGAGAAAAGAAATAAAACTTAAAGAAAATAATTTTAGAAAATAAAAATTTTATGAGGGCATTATATGATTTTTTATATAGACATTAAAAAAATATATAAATTTAGTATGTGTGTATATATATAAGGGTAAAATGCAAGAAACCCCCTGAACTATGGAGGTTTTGCAACTAACCCCCCTGGACTACAAAAAAAACCCTCTAGACTTTGATTTTGTTGCATATTACCCCATCAGGTCACCGGAAAAGATAAATGACATTTTTACCCTTACTATGAAACTACACCATTTGAAGCATTGTCATATTAATTTGTTTACGTGGCAAAAAAATCTCAACAGGTAATGGGATATTGACAGAACACCAAAGAGATAAGTATACTCCATCACACCAACAACCACATCTACTACAAGATTTTTATTGGTCTAGCGGCTATAATTTTGGGGTCTTATGATTCAGTTGCAGATGCCAGAGAGCTTGCACGGGAGAGATTAATATTTTGGGTTGATTAAACAACAAAACAAACCCATTTATTCACGCATATAGTCAATCCGATGCACCAATTAAGATCAAATCAATCCAAAACAGACCAAAGAAGCAAAATCGGAGACAAATCCAAGAACAGAGCTACCATCATGAACAATTCTGTGAAGAAATTAATCATAAAAACATGGCGCGTGAGCGCACGTTGGGGAGAGTTGGGTATTGATTAGTCGGCTTTTTCTCACCGTGTTATTGCGTGTGAGCATAGCTGGTGAAAACTGTTCGGCGGTGAGATTGCGTGCGAATCTGGCGAGAAGATCGGGTGAAGGTGATGATAGGTGGTGAAATTTCAACGTAACCACCTTCAGTTGGAATTCTCATTCGCCGGTGGCTACTGAAACTGCATAAGCGAATTCCTAGAGAGAGAACATGAGTCGCCATCGGTCATGGATTTGCGGAGTTCGCTATGTGAGCTTTGGCAGAGAAGAGACCAGAAAAGGCAGACGCATTGTGTCTAGAGTCTAGACCAGAGACTTATCGGGGTCGGTGGTGAGATGAGGTTGGCGTTGTCCTTGGTGGCGGTGAAGAAATTGGATGTAGCCTGGACCTCCGAGGCTGGAATAGTTTAAGAGATTGGCGGGTCATGAACTGAGAAGAGACCCGAAGAGAGAGGAACGGGTCGCCGGCGAAGGGGCTTACTGGTGCGGCGACGGCAAGGCAGAGGGTCGCATGGACGGATCCAATAATCCAATTTATGGTACTGGGTTCTTTTTGGCTTTTACCAATTGCTTGTTTATGGAATATTTTGTCTCCTTTTTTATCAATTTGAAAATTTATGGGATGCTTGAAATACTTCCGCATCATGATGTTCATGTTCACTGGCAGTTCTTGCTTCTCGCCATTCCGTCCTCTGTATAGTCACCGGACCATTCCGTCCTCTGTGTTACAGTTTGACATGCGGTGAATCGATGATCTTGCCTTACTAGATTTTAATGAACTCATCCTTGCCGTAAAACCGTACGATCCACCAAACTAGGAAATTGAGAACGCTTTAAGACCTTCGCGTGTTACAGGGACGATTCAGAGAATCAGAGTTGTGGATTTGGGGAAATTTTGATAAAGGCTTGTTTGGTCGGTATTCTAAAATTAAAGATATTATTGTCCTTTCATGTTTCTATGGGCAGTATGGTCATTTAAATTTAAGAAACAATTTTAACGGTCATATATCACCGGACGTTGAACAGATGGAGTGATCTGCAATAATTTTGCATAGTCCAAGGAGTTTCTTATATTTTTTAAAGTTCAGGGGATTAGTTGCAGATTTTTTTATAGTTCAGGAAGATTTCTTGCATTTTACCCAATATATAATAGTCAGGGGCAGGGTAGGGGCACGTGCCCTGAGCTTACAGTGGCTCTACCCCTATATGGCTGTATATATGTATATATATTTGCGTTTCCAATTCTTGTATTCTAGCAAATTAACTAACTAAACTAAACTTAATTAAATAGAAAGATAAGAGTACGTTTCTCTCTACTTTTATTGTATTATATATATATATACATACGTACACATGTAGATGGCGACGAGAATTAAGACTTATTCAAGAGAAAGAGGCCAACCCGAAACGGTAGGTGAAATAAATCATGGAAGAAAACTAGGGAGAGGAAAAAGAAAAAGAAAAAGAGGAAGGTCTTTTTAATCAGCCCCTCTTCTGAAGGGCAAATTTTATAATCAATAATGAATTATCTTTTTTATTTTTCGTTCTATAAGAAAAATATTTTCACAGTACAAAAGTTGTCAAAACATTAACCCATTAGCAGTTATTTTTGTGAATTTGTGATATTTAGCATCTTCCGATATATGTACAGGTTTATGTGCACAGTAATGTATTAATATATTATTAAAAAAAAAAAAAAAAACGAAGGTAGTATACCTACAAACCGACTGATTGAATCCCTTCCAAAACGTACCCTAACTGCTTATTTACCCCATCCCAAAACCAATTTCATTTACTTGCTCGATCAACAATTTTAATAATCAGTTTTTGTAAGTAAAACATGACAGAGTAAAAATATAAAGTATTAGAGTGGATTCATGACTTCATGGAGATGTTATTATCCTCCTTACCTTTAATCTCATATAATAAGGTGGGTCATATAAATTTTCTCTTTAAACTTTTCCATTAAATACCACTTCATCTATTATATTTTATTTTTTAAAATCATTTTTAAAGAAAGGAACATAATATGTGTGTAATTCAAAGAACTTCTAGAATGGAAGTGTACTTACCCAAGAGCCTCTGTGGATAAATTCTGGCGGCCAGTCTAGACTTATGGAGTTTGGTTGTGAAAGTTGGAAAATGGGGAAGAAGATCCGGCTGCTGCCAAAATCTAGGTCTGCAAAGAACACCAACTCGATTGTGGGTCTGCATGTGACTAAATTTTTCTCAAATTTCATTTTAAAGGCATGACAATATCACATATTACGGTTGACACCCATACGATTTAAACCAATCTAAATCATACAGTTATATTTTGTCCTATTTATTTTATTTTCCTTGCACAAATATGTTGTTTTTGCGCCATATTGAATCAAAGTTAACTGTTTTGGTCCAATTCCAAATTTAACTGTTAGGAACCCCATATATTATTCTTGCTCTCGATGCTTTTAGATATTTAATTGTTTTGGTCCCATTAGTACGGAACAGTAACAATCACACTACTTTCTTGGACATAACATTCACGGTGTGGCTTGTGCATGGCCTTTATTTTCAAGGAATTGAGTTTTATATGAGTACTTGATCCTACTAATTAGATATTATTGGCTTTTCACACTTTTAATTTTTTTTTTCTTTTTCAAACGCGTCTACACATGTAGGAGATGTTTTAAATGTTTGTAACTTCTTCACACAATGTGAGATGCTACACATTTACTCCTATTGAATTTGATTATAAATCTGAGAAGGAATTTATTATTTAGTTATGCACATGCGCAAATTAGACTTGAACCCTCAGATAAATCACATCATAAAAATACAATTTGAGTTTTGCTATCATTTGTCAGTCAATATAACAAATTTATCATGACCACATTCGTAATAATAAATTTTGTAAAAAGTTTTTGGGTCTTGAAAGAGCATTTTGGCAAAGTTAAGAGATATAAGTTTCTCTTCTCTAAAACAATCTTGTAAGAAATACGGGAAGCAAATATGATTTTTTATTGACACTTTTAAAAACCCAAATATACCATTTTTATTACACACTTAAAAAAAATTTCCAAGCATGTCCCTATTTTCCGTGTTCTCTCCTTTATTTTAGATTTCTTAGACGAGAATGGAGGTTGGAGAGATAATAGTTCCATAGCATCCTATGTTGCTTTTCTTGCAAAGAGGATTTAATATTCTTTAAATAGTTCCATAAGAAACCAAGCAGGCCTTCTAACATGTGAAGCAAAAGGTATGCCAAACGGGTTCAAGAGAGCCGAACAAGCCCAATCTGCCCAATGAATTGCATGAAAAAGGCCAACTCATGGAACTACACGGTTGGGCTTGACCTGGTATAAGTTTGGGCTTGATTTGCTGTCCATACCAAGATCCAACTGAAACGAACAATTATTCGGGCCATTCGGCCCATTACCCTCCCCAATGGAAACAAGGGTTGCGAACCCTAGCGATCACACCATTTCTCTCTCATCCGCACACAGCCACAGCTATAAAAGCGATTTATAAACAAAGCTAGGGTTTTACCGTCCTTGGCATAGAGTTTTAGAAACAGAGAGTTTTAGAGAGAGAAAGTGAGAAGATGCCGGCTGGCCATGGACTCCGATCTAGGACTAGAGACTCGTTCTCTAGGGGCTTTCGCAAGAAGGGTACCATACATCTCACTACATACCTGAGGACCTACCACACCGGAGACTATGTCGATATCAAGGTAAATGGTGCCATTCACAAGGGTATGCCCCACAAGTTCTACCATGGACGCACTGGCCAGGTCTGGAACGTCACCAAGCGTGCCATCGGCGTCGAAGTTAACAAGCAGGTCTCTCACTTATTTCTCTCTCATATGCATATGTACACATATATAAACTCGTATGTCTGATTGTATTGGTAGAATAATGAATGCTACACATATATATAAACTCGTATGTCTGATTGTATTGGTAGTTATAGTGAATGCTATTGTGGATCTATTAGTATTATCGTTTTTTTTTTATTGTTTTTGTTTTTTTTATTTAAAGTTGTTTTACATTCCGTTTGGGTAGAAATGGTCCTGGGATTTGTGTATTGGGATAGGATTACATTGTTGATCTACTTGCTTCTGATATAAAGTATTTCATTACTTATTTAGATAATAGTCATACCGGGCAATTTTTAAAAACTAAAATAAAATTGGGATCTTGATTGTTTTTATGGGGTTGTTTCATTTTGCTTACTTTATATTTGTAAAATAAATGAAGTCTAAGAAATTGATTTGGATTGGTGTATTTGTGATACTTTTAGCTATTTGAGTGTTTGCAAAACAGTTAATTTAGGTGAGGGAAAAGAAATCAATTGTAATTGGCCTTGATGTCATGTAGCAACTCTTCCCTCGTGTAAAATGTAACTAAACCTGTATGAGCATTTGAAGTCATAATCCTTTGGCTTGCAGTTACCAGTTTAAGTTTAGATTGGTATATGGTCTTTTGCCTAGTTTCATACTTCTATTTCCATCTCTAATGCTTATATAGATGTCTTTTGAAAAACTCTTTAGGTCCTGAACCTTTTTTCATTCTCCACTTTTTCTTGTCTTGCCTGGCCTGAAGGGTCCCAAGATTATTGCATTTAATGGTGTCAGTTTGATTCGGGTAATTGTGTATAGAGGGGGGAAATCAAGTTATTTGTTTGCAATGTTCAACATTTTATTGAAAATAAGGACAAATGATTTCATTCGAGATTTCCTAAGAATTCACATAGTTAAATCCCCTATTTCGTATATCAGCAAAAGGAATGATTCATCACGATGAATTAGAACAAATAACTTGATTTCCTCTGGTAAAATGACCCCCTAGTATTTGTTTCAACCAAGGTTGTTAAATCGCGATTCTAGGTCATGATTCTATGATCCTAGGCCCCAAAAATAAGTTGAATTGCATAAAAATTGTTCATTTGGGTAGAATCCGGGCCAATTCTACATTATTCTACTGTTCACTTTTTTTATTTCACACTTTTTTGGGTATATTTGATTAATTGATTTCTTAACAGTTTTGATATGCATCATGCATGGGTATTTGATTAATTGATTTTCTGTTCTTGGTTTTTGAGTTTTAAATTTTGATTTTTGGCTCTGTGCAATTTTTTTTTGTTATGCTTCTATTCTGACTCATGTTCAATTTTTTTTTGGTTCTGCTTCTGTTCCGTACGTTGTTATTCTTTTTCTGTGCAAAGTAGGAAATATTTTGCTGTTATGAGCTTTTAAAAATTGAGATTGTGCAATTTTTTTTGCTGTTCTACCTTCTATACTTCTATTTTTTTTTTTTTCCAAAGTTTATCAGTTTGTGACGTTATGTTCTGCTTTTAAAATTTAAATTTCTACTCTTGAGCCTTTGAGAATTGAGCTTGTGGAATTTTTTTTTTTTGCCATTCTAACTTGTATACTTCTATTTTTAATTTTTTTCCAAAGTTTATCAGTTTATGATATTATGTTATGTTTTTAAATTTTAACTTACTACTTTGTGTTCCGAGTGCTCTACCTTTTGTGTTCTCTTTTATATTATATTTGGACCTTAGAATGGTACTTTTATACTTCTTTTTTTTTTTGGTGTTTTATGTTTTGGCCTTATTCTTGCTATATTTTACACATATTGGTTAAGGGGTTAGTTTGAATTGTTTTTACACGAATCTTACGATTTCCGATCCGATTTTACGGAGTCCAAAATGATTCTACATAAAATCTCTATTTTAACAACCTTGGTTTCAACATGAATCACACAAGGGTAGATTAGAAACCTCTTGTAAAATCCCCCTGTAACCCAGTAGATAAATTACAATGGCATACTTCAATCTATTCTAGACATACAAGAACAAAAATAATAGTAAATCATTAGAACAATATTAGAATAAAATTTTGCTTTCTTTCTTGGATTCAACATAGAAACACAACAATTCAAGTTAAGCCAATGAATCTTTTGTCCTTAAAATAAAGAGGCTACATTCCATATAAGACTGCCTTTTCTGTGTGATATACCTGTTTATTTCTCTAGTGATTTGAAGTTATTGAATTTTGAAATTTTGAATTCGATGCAAGAAAAGTTGCATTGTAACATACCCGAGTCATTACGGTACTCAGGCTTTTATTGATTCATATTCAAAGTATTATTTTGTGATTGTTTTACCCAAGTATGCTTTTGGAAGCAAGATGGTTCCATTGTATTGGAGTTGAGTAGTGTCATCATTTCCATTCATTATATGGCTGCTTTCAGATTGTCATGCATCATTTTCGAAATAGGAATATATTTATTTATGGAATAATATGTAAAAGTTGAATCAGTGGGCTTAAGCATTTATGATTGTACGAAGAAAAAAAAATGTTTATGGTTGTAGGATTCTTTTCAATTCTTTTGCCATCCTGCAGTGCTTAATATTTGGCATTCTATTTGTGACTTTTTCTGTTTCGTGGCAGAAGATAATTAGTAATTAAACCGAGCTGTGTTGTATATGAATGAATATAGGTCGGAAACAGGATAATCAAGAAGAGGATTCACGTCCGTGTGGAGCACGTGCAGCCCTCTAGGTGCACTGAGGAATTTAAATTAAGGAAGAAGAAGAATGATCAACTGAAGGCAGAGGCAAAGGCAAAAGGTGAGGTCATTAGCACAAAGAGGCAGCCAGAGGGCCCTAAACCAGGTTTCATGGTTGAAGGGCACATCTTGGAAACTGTTACTCCAATCCCCTATGATGTCGTCAATGATCTCAAGGGTGGATACTAGATTAACTTGTTCTGGGTTTCTTTTTTGCTTTATGGGTTGTTGGACATCTGAAGTGATTTGATCTAGCATATTTATATGAATGTTTTCTTCTCTGCTCGTTGCTGAGCTTATGTTCCAAGATATTATTAGCTAAGGACACAGTTTGCTCAAATTTTGTGTTAAATGAAGAGTTATTTTCTTTTGAAATAGCCATACAAGTTTCTGTGAATGCCGGCAATCATTATATGCCACTGCCTTGTTTTATGCCAAATGTTTTATGGAGTTAGCAATGGCGAGGGAAAATGGAAGTTAAAAGAAAAGGCATGGATGGTTTGTAACTCTAAGAATAGAAAAAACTGATTGCTTCAGTTTTCTGAAAACTGTTTTATTAAAACTCAATTATAAAAAGTCTGTTTTCAGATAATTGTCTTTTATTGTTCTTTGTAAATTGCTTTTTGTTTTTTGAAATCTTGAGAATTGTTTTTGGAGTTACAAACCAAGCAAGCCTTAATCTCTCATGTTTCTCTCTTATCTTTCTCAAATATGGTTGGAGTCAGGAAATATAGGAGTATGACAATTTAAAATTCTGCCACTGTGTTGCATTTTGGTAAATATATTTTTTCGTTCTCTCTTCATAAATCTGGGGTAGAGCTTGTTTGTTACTGTTGCTAACTCGTTGAAGATGTGATTCTGTTGGGAGCTTTTTTGTCAAGCAGAATCAGCACTAAATAGTCTTGCAAAAAAATATGCTGTTGTTCTATTTATCCATTTCAATTTCTGTCTTCTGTGAAATAGATGTTCGAGATGTCCTTCGACAGGTTTTCAAGGGCAAGTGTATCTGTATTTGCCAATAGGAAATAAAATTCTTCTGTTTACATCCAAAAGAAAGCTACATTATATTTGGGCGGGTTACCTACCTATATTGGGGATGCGTATGTGGATATTTGAAGTCTTAATAAGAGTGTATTTCAAAAAAATTGTACTAGTTTTAGACTAAAAGTATGGTCTCTTTGCTGTATTGTCTTTGTTAAAAAAAAATGCAGTCTTAATATAAATAGTAGAAATTGAAAATTTCCAAATCAACCAAATGGCATGACTTAAGGAGTGGTCACAAAGGAAAGGATATGTGCCCAGGCAAAGGAACTTGTTAAGCTGTACTAAAGTATGGTCCTTTAGATACTTTGATTCAGATGCACTTTTTTTTGTGTCACTCTTCAATTTTTTTTTTTTTTTTTTTTTTTGGTTCTAAATGCAACTGGGACAGTTTAAACCATATATCATTACAATATAAATACCAACTTATACTATCTAATAATAGTCACACTAATGAATGATGTGTGTGTGTGTGTTTGTTGTGTAAACTGTAGCTTTCTCTCACAAGAATCTCCACCTTTTTTATATATTGGGGGTCTTATTTATTTGAAAGAAAGAGAAGTTGGGAGTCTTGCACTACCAAATTGAAGTTGAAAATGAAGGCAGCATGCAACCTCTCTCCTTTCCTTCTCTTGCTTATTGTTTCCTCAGGTTGGTTGGTTCTCTCTTCTACCTATTTCTCATTTTATCATTTCTTATTTTCCTTTCATAACAGATATTGTATAAATACAGTTATTTATTCTCTACTATACCTCTTCTTTTTTAATAAATGAATGTAAATTTTCACTCTACTTACAAAATAGAACAGTTATTTTTTTATTTTCCTTTTCTTATATTTCCAAACCTTACGAGGGATACTGCTATCATTTCAATTCTGTAAAATTTACCGTATATCATTTTAAAAAGATTATTTTTTAATTTTTTTTTTTTCATTAAATTTCAAATTTTGAAGTTTTTTGGACAGCTGAATTTGCCATAGCCTTACCAGTTCAAGGGGCAGCAGCACATGCCATAAGGATTCCGGAGCACACCTGTCATAAGCTGATTGGGCGAAGCAAATGTGAGATGCACAAGTGCAGTCGGGCATGTTCTAAAGAGCCTTATGGTGTGGGAAAATGCAAAGGCACCATTTGCATCTGCACATATTATTGTAAGCAACCCCCACAGTAACACCCATTACTCATTTACCTCTCGAGAATGTGTTCTCTCTCTCTCTCTCTCACACACACAAAAGTACATATATATATATACAGAGAGAGTCAAGGATCTTTGTGGGATGAAATTGATGATATTTTCAATCTTCATAGTTTTTTTTTTTGGGTAATCTAGTTTCCCTTTTTAATTAAAAAGAGTGTATCTTTTGCAATGTATAAATGTGGACTAGTGGACTATACACTTCTCCATTTTGATGTTCTATTTTACACTGAAAATGAATCATATGGATTATCTTTATCCAACAAACCACAATAATCTATGTGGAGACAAATATTGCAACCGTCATGTTGAACCAAACAATTTTAAGAGCATCTTTAATAATACGGACTTGTGAAAAAAAAAATAATAATAAATTAATTAAGATATTGTTTCTTCAAACCAAAAAAAAAGAAGAATCTAGGGACTCTAATGATAGATTTATCTTATAATTGTGTGCAAATATTATAAACAAACATGAAATGTAGATTTTAGTTAATTTGGACTTACATTTCTTTATCAGGTGTGATCTCCTCTTAAATTTACACAAAGTAAGATATTAACCAAATGTGAGAAATGAGAGAAATGCATGTATGAATGTGAATTTATGCCAACGGCCCACATTTACACATATAGTTCTATCATCTAGATAAAGATACAGTTTTACGGAGAATCAAATACACATATATAGTGACGTCGTAATGCGGCACGTTTGGATAATATTTTTGTTGATGAAAAGGATAAATAAACACTTAAATTTTGGTTATGTAAAAATAAAGTTCAATGAGATTGTGCCAGATTTTCTCGAAATTTATGTCAGAAATTGGATGGCATTTTAGAACCAAACATATGTAATATTTCATTTATATTAATGGGAATTACATACGAAAACATGTAACATTGCCGTGCTCATTTTATTCCAACAGCACATGAATGACTATTAAAATAAAATATTTGTAAATTGTAGCAAAATATTGAAGACAGTTGATCCCTTTTCATAATGGTTGATGTATGAAAGAAGTATACATTTGATATTTATCAATATCACACAAAATTTTATTAACCATCTCTTCATATCAAGTCATCATTTGCAGCAGCCTCTCCAAAATTTTACTTTATAAATTAGCCCCTTTAATTTTTTTTAAAGTCACGTTGCAGCAGCTTTTAGGGATTTTTACTCTCTAAAAAAATATATATATTTTACCTACGACTATATTTATAACGGTTATATTTTAACGACTATATTTTTCATCTTATATAGTAACTCATTTGTTCATCATGACATCATTTGGGATTCATCTTTTTCATTGTAACAAAATATCATTATCCATCTGCTTCAATCTCGAAATTCAGGCTGTCATCACAAACTTTTCCTTTCCCAGACTCAAATCCTCCATCTTCTTTATCTTCTGAATCATCTCCATTATCAAATGACTCTATTGACGCGTTGATTCAAAGTTTTTTATTTTTATTTTCTAGGCCAATATAGTCCTTATGTAATATTTTAGTCAGCCAAAATAGTGCCTAAGGACTATATTATTTATTTACTGATTTTTTTAAAAATAAAAAGTGATCAAAAAATTACAAAAAATAGGTTTTGGGGGGGTGGGCGCAACTAATCAGGTAAACAGCCCTTACTGTTTGGACCGTTTCCCCCTTTTCTTTTTCTTTTAAAAAGAAAAACAGCACAGTTTTGGTTATTATTATTATTTTTTTAAACCAACTTTAAAACGACGTTGTTTTGAATAACAAATTTTAATAAAAAAATAAAAGCGAATACAGGCAGGCTCGTTCGGACCAGCAAAAAAGCCTGTGAGTTCAAGTGAGCCCGCCTCGTTTAAGCGAGGTCGCTAGCCTTTTTGGCCCATTCTCACTAAACCAACCCTCTAGTGATAGGGCTGGAGATCGCCTGAGAGTGTAGGATTTGATTGACCAAAAAACTTTGAAAGAAAAATAATAGCTGAAAATGGAATAATTCCTTCCGTTATATACTAATATAGCATGGTAATAAGGAAACAAGTTTTTTTTTTTTTTTTTTTTTTTTTTAACCCTGGCAAAAGAACAGCCAAATGGCACTTACATAGGCAAGAACACAAAAACAACATCCAAAACAAAGAACCATAATCATTGACAAAACACAGGTATCCCCCAAACAAGCCCAACACCCAGCTAGGTCAAGACATCGGTCTTTACAACAATCTAAAGCTTTAAAAGATGTCTATAACAGTAGGTTGGCTAGCACCCACAAGAAGCGCATGTTGAGTGGCAAAAGACTAAGATGGAAATGATTCAGAGTGATATGATTCTCCAATTTGCACGTCTAACTTTCGAGAAGAATCAGAAAGAGGACAGACTATAACACCATAGGAGCCCATCTCATTTGGCTTACACATTGCACTACTCACCATAACTTTTTGTTTCTTCTCCCTCACCATGCAACCACCCTGAGACCCACTTGAAGTGGATTGTCTCTTCTTACGGCCTTGCCGGGCAGGGGAAGATCCCTGGCTTTGAGAAGTAGCGGAGGAATTAGATTGTGTCCCCTTCAATGGCTTCACCCGAGCTTTACCCTTCTTCCAAGCCTTCGACATTTGATCCCAGCGTTGCAATGGTAAAATCTGTCCCTTAACTGGGGAAGTTACTGGATCAGAGGGCAAAAACTCCTCATTTTGTACCGAGCCACATGACTTTGAGAGGAAGAGCCCGGCATCATGCGGCCATCTAGCTTAAAGATGGTCACCCCAAGTGGGATAAAATCCTCAACATTACCTTTCCAATGGCCTCTCATGACATCCAAACTGTGGGTAGCCACACCCCCAATAGAACACTCACATTTTTTCCATCGCCACCAACCATTATAGTTTATCCACCCACACTGGATAAAGCCACAACTGCATTATCCGATTTATCCAACTGATTGATTCTAGGACCAAGATCATGAAGTCTAAACACATTACGGGAGTCACATGCCTAGTCTGGCAACAGATGGAGAACGGAAGAAGATTTAGATACATTAAGGCCATCTCCACCATTCGAATCCCTATCCTCCACATAGAGCTAATTTTTGCCATTCCCATCACCTAGAGAATCAACCATAGACTGTTCTGGATTCCAAAGGTCTTTTCCCAGAAAACCTTTCGCTCCCAACCAACCCTCATATTCCTTCAAATCCGCAGAGAACAAAGAAGACCCTACCGGACATGATTTTCAATGATGACCGATAATACCACATGCATAACAAAAAGAAGACAACTTCTCATATCGAACTTGCACCCAAGACTTTAAACCCGACGGACTTGATAATAATATATGCCGGCGAAAAGGCTTTGTTATATCCAATTCCACTCTTAGATGAAGAACCCATCTATCAACTGACACGTTTTCCTTACTGTCAAACAGACCCTTATCCCTCAACTCCACCTTTAAACAATGACCTAACGTGTTTGCAATTTGTTGCCCCACCTTTTCAGACAGAAGATTAGCATGCACATCCAGAATTTGGAGCCAGAAAGGAGAAACCTGAAACGGTTCATCAGAGCGCAGTAAGCCCTCCTCCCTTTCCTTAAGAACCACCAAAAAGCCAGCGACAACCATTGAGGATACGCTGATGAATACTAGCATATGGAATAATAAGCTGGAACAGGTTCCTTGCGACCTTGAACACTTGTAGTCGCTTAGAAATAGGCTCATATTGCTTCTCTTTTGGTCAAAGCTTGTTAAACAACTTGCCAAATGTGTACTTAACCCCGGCCAAAGTCGTTGTTTTAAAAGCCCAAACCTTTCCAAACAAACTAAAATGGCAGAGTTAATCGCTCTGGGCAGTGTTATCAGTCGACAAAAGGGTTGGTTTTTTCTCCGCTGGAGTCAACGTCATTCCTCAAAACTGAGTAATAATGGTAGGCTCCATTGACACCACAAAAGAGAGGGACAGGAAGATGAGGGAAAGTAACACTAAATTAAACCACCACTTGTTACAAATAAATCGGAAGGAGAAAGGATAAACCTTGCCAAGATGGTAACCCAAAATATATAATTTGTCCTAAGCACTTACTAGATACCGAGATAGAAATGACAGATAAGCCCAAAAGTCAACCAGATGTGACTTAAATGGTTCGAAATAGAGGCGCTACTTATTCCAAAGAGATGATCTCGCCATGACATCAGAGTAGGAGGTGTATGGGATATATTTTGCTGCTCTAGCCACACAAATCGGAAAGAGATTGAAATGTACCACATGGATAAACGTACCAAGGAATAAGTAAAATGTCACTGCCAAACACGGGTCTCGAAAACGCACGTGCCCCTGGCCCACAGAAAGCCAGAAGAAAGCTTCTAAAGGACTTTTCCAAGATGTCTTCCATGATGTCAGGCCTACCCCAGCTGAGGAAACGAACTCTGACTACAGGAACCGACATACCGATGATCCCAAAACCATAGAACAAAACCCACAATAGCCGGTAGAATCCTTTAGAGGGAACAAAACAATCAAATCCGGCACCAGACTCAGAAAACCTAAAGGATAGACATAAGACCCATGCACCATACTCAGAAAACCTCTTAGTAACAAGCTCCAAAGAGGACCCACCAAATAGATTCGGCACCGGAGGCAAACATGAAGGCCTAGGAGCACACTAGATCACCGAACCATCCCAACATGATCAAAACCCAAAATAGAAAGTGGACAAACAGGAGGAACAACCAGAAAAGCAGCATAACAAACCATAAACCCACAAAAGCAAGACAATATATAATTTCCAGAGACAAAGAAAGACAAAGTGGCATAAATAAAAAGAGTAATTAAGGGTATAGTGCATTATCAGATCCGCCAAAAGATAAGCAAGTTACCAAAAGCTAATCGGAATCTAGAATAGCCACAAACTAAAGACATGACTATAGACAGGAGCAAAATCACCAACACAAACACAGAAAGGGAAACAAGCAACAATGGATCACAAAACACCCCACAAATAGCAAAAACATATAACTCTGACAAAACTGAAAACTCTGAACCACAGAAACCCCTACACCGAGAGGAACTCGATAATTTGTATTACAAAGGGAGGTAGTCTATTGATATTTCTTTTAATAAGGAGACAAGTGATTAGGTTGGATAATGACTAATTCCGAATTAGGAAAGAATATGTTGTCATAAAGATAATAAGGTCTGAGTTGAATAATTTGACCAAGCTATGTCCAATTCAATAATTTGGCCAAATTTCAAGCTTACATTAAAATAATATTTTGCGTAACTTATTTTGGAGTCCGGATTTAAATACGATTTTATTCAAAGTTAATTTTTTATGGAGTCAGGATTTAAATACGATCTTAATCAAACTTTAACTTTTTGTCGTCAACAAGCTTAATTTCAAAAATGTTAAAGTTAAGTCAATTTACTTACTTTACAATCTAATTTAGTGTTTAAGAAATTTTAACATGACCATACACTTTGGGGTTTTGATGAAGCCACCAAGCCAATTAAAATTTTATTTGTTTTCCATTTTTATATTTGTCTTTAATTTGATTAAAAAAGGAAATGATTAATGTTTTTTTTTTTCTTTTTCTAATCATCCATGAATGTCATAATTTGACATTTGCTCAAATTAATCTGTACTGGTTTTTTTTTTTGTTTTTCCATTATTTTTTATATTGGTCTCAGAACACGTAATAAATTATACAGAAAAAAGAAAAATAAGAAACAAATAGTAAAAATACATGTCCTTCGTTTGCTAGTATGAATTTAACATTTTTTTTAAGACTTAAATTCGTTGTTCCGTGGCCGATAATGCGTGCTTAATACAAAGGCACACTTATATATATATATATATATATATATATATATATAAATTATATTATTTGCTTTCTTGTCGAGAGCAACCGAACAATGCAATACGAACAACTCAAGTTCCTGTTTGTAAAACCCTAACACCAATCGATCGACTCTTCCCCTGTTGTTCGAACTCTCTTTCTTACATCAATTTGTCTCTTTCTCTTTGCTTTCCGGTCTGCAATTACTCTATTTGGCATTTGAATCCGTCCATTTTCTCTCCCTAGACGTTTCTGCTCTTTCTCTGTCTCTAGACCTTTCGTTTCCATTTCAGGCATTTCTTGAATTTTGAATTTATTCGGTTTTTTTTTTTTTTTTCTTTTTCTTTGCGAGATTGGGCAAGGCTGGCGTGTGTCCAGGGCAGGCTATGGCGGATCCGCCAAGTGTCCGCCAACGTCTGTTGCTCAATATAGGTGTAATTAAATATATAAGACTCGGATCATTTCTAGGGTTAGGGTTCGAGAGTTGTGTAGAGTGGGAAGTAGTGAGAGAGTGGGAAGTATGCTGAGCGTGCTGCGAGTGCATCTTCCGTCCGACATTCCGATTGTAGGCTGCGAGCTCACGCCGTACGTGCTCTTACGGCGACCCGATAAGTCCATTTCTACCGAGGATGTTCCTGAATCTGCCCCACTGGATGGTCACTTCTTGAGATTCAAGTGGTCAGTAATGTTACTTCCACTGATGCTAGTCACATCTTTTCTTTTCTCTTTTGATTGTGTTTTTCCTTGATATTTTTTATTTTTATTTTTTTATTTTATTTATTTATTTATTTATTTTTTGTAATTTATCAAATTTGCAAGTTTTTTTTTTTATTCCTTTGGATGTTTGGAATGATATGCAACTTGAGATTTTAGTAAAGATTTTAATTTTTGATGATCCATGGTTGATGCTCTTGAATGTGCGTGGACAAGACATTTTATTTCTTAATTGAGTTGTAGGGATTTGTTTAAAAATTTAATGCAGGTAAAAGCTACAATAAAAAATGAGGAAACTTGGTAGTTTAAAAGATGGGGTTTTTATTGGAAGGTTTGGTTTACTGCTTGGATGACTAGTCAAGGGCGTCATATCATAGAAATATGGCAAACATGAGAGGGTGAAGGCCTTGAACTTGGCTAAAGTATAATCAAATCAGATTTGAGGAAAGTGAAAAGGGCAGGATTAAATTTGAAAAGGAAACTCCAATTGTCCTCACGTGTAATTTAAGAAAATTACAAGATTCAATTATGGATTTGGTGCACAATGGAATCCTAGATGTCTGATTGCAAGTGTCTGTGTGTATACTCTCTCACGCCCAAACACATGCACACAGTGGATGTGAATTGCTGTATGGTGGTTGAGAGTGTCACATGGCTCTGTTCCTTGTTATCATCAAAACCCCCTTGTGCATTCAGTATGTGATTTGCTTTTCATCTCAATTTCTACCTTCTTTCCCTCCTGCATTAATATATATTTTTAACCACCAAAAATTAATCAATTTCTGGGTTGCATTTCACGGTTTTCACCCTCTGCTTTCTTTCCCAAATTATGATTTATACGCAGAAATAATATTGTGCAAACGTGCTAGGATCTAAACATCATTAATGACAACTTAAAGACACTGAAATTTGGTGTTACATTGAGTTGGCACTCTGGTTGTTGTGCTAGATATGGAATTGTTCCTGTCAAAAGGGTTTGACCTCAAAAAAGAAGCATCCTTGTTTTCATAATGATCTTTTCATTGGAAAAAGAGGTTGTGACTTACAGGCTTAGATGCATTGTATCCGCAGTTCCGCACCTTTATGGCAAGAGCCAATCTATCATGAGCGTGCACTCATTGAGTTCGTGCCTCATATCCATTACATCGAGAGGTTGACCTCCAGTCTAGCATGAAGGCTCTCTCACTGAGTTCGTGCCCTAGTCAGACGTTATGAGGTCAACCTCATGATTTAATGGCTATGGTGCATAAAATCATTTAGAGTGCACTCATTGTAGCTTTTTCCTTGCGGTACGTATCGGAGAAAATTCAAAAGAAACCAAACGTTATATGATTTGGCCTTGCTATAAAAGTCAACGTTTGACAGACTCATAAATATGTAGTCCTATTTTTTGGGTTGCGATTTATTATCTTTCCACAGCTTTGATTTCCATTATTTATATTCATCTTTCTCAGTTCAGTACAATTACATTCTATATTCCAAGAATCAGGTTGATTAATATGTACAGTTTGTTTACATTTGAATGTAAAAGCTGGCATAACTTCTATCACATTCAAGTTCCTGCTTAAAGAGACCAGCAAGACGAAGCCAGAGAATTTTGCCCACTAATTAAACTGCAGTTTAGTAAACAACAATAGGATGTCAGATTTTTTAACTTATCAGCCATTTTCTCTTGATACTTTAAAACTGTAAATTTCATGTTTTCTTCCCATGTGTAGTTTAAGGATTAGCACAAATGCACAAAGTGAAATTATTTTCAACTGGTCTTCTATAATATATTGGACATTCCTCCTAGGATGATTGACAAAGAAAAGCTGTAGTTAATTTAAGATGCTAAGAAACAAGCATATATATAAACATTAAAGCATTCTCATGTTTCCGTATATATATTATACAATTACTTCCAAGTTATCAATTTCAACAAGATCCTACTTACACTTTGTGTCAAGTTTTAGTACTTTCGGATGTGTTTGATTTGTGGACGGGAGGGCATTTACAGGTTCAAAGGAGTATATCAATGGGTACGGTTCATGATGGGCCCTGATTTCTCAATAAAATTAACTGGCAATTTCTATGGGTCTTTCTGGATAATGAAGCAATTAATGTACGAAACCTTGCTGATGGGGAAAAGTATGTTAAATACCAATACCGAACTAGCAGCAAATGGTGCATGGATTGATGATTATCCCTTCTTTGTCTTGCCAAGAAGGCTATACTACAATTATTTCTAAATAGGCTTTGCAGCGGCAACATGATTTATGAGGAGTGTTTGATATAAGAAAAAAATGAAGTCTTAATGAGGAAAATGCAATTGTATTGGAAACTACTTGTGTAAATTTAATTTTTGTCATTCTAATAAGATGGACATTTGCAAGGAGGAGCTGCATTTGTGTTGCAGCTTGCATTAGACAAAAACACTTCTTGGACAAGTCCAGGCATACGTGCTGCATATCTTTGACACGTCAATGATCTACAAATAGAACTCTTTAATTTTGACACGACTGGCACTTCTTGGACTTGTCTTAAGATCTGACTAATGAACCTTGGATAAGACATAATACCCATTTACATGCATATACAAATACAATGCATACTGATTTATATCATGTCATTAACCATTATTATATCTATATGCGGCAGAGGCAATTTTTATTATATCATTAATAAGTTGTATATTTGATGTTACAGTCGGTAAATAATTATTTATAGTATAGATATTTTTATATAAAAGATGTATCTTTTAATGTCCTCTCCTCACGTGTCCGCATCCTACTTATTTAAGATTCGCCAAGACTGTGCGTGTATCCATGCTTCTTGTCTGCAGTTTTTAGAAATTGTTCTGAGTGTTTATAGTATGGAAAACAGATCTTGCAACTGTACGTTGCTTTTTAGGATCCCTGCAGATTTGATCCTATCTACACCCGGAGCCATAGGAAAGATGTCTTGCTTGTTAGTTGTTGATATAGTTGGATTGGAGTACAGAACTTTATATGAATTTAGTAAGAATCTAGGAAACTGAATAAGAAGTTGAAGAGTCTCATTAACTACCTTAAAAAAATCAAGAGAATTTTGAGAAGTAATTTTGACATGTACTTTGTGAGACAATTTAGTGTAATAGGAGTTCAAAAAAGTAAACGTAAATCCCTCTGATTTATCAAGATTAATAGGTGGACCACTTGGTTAATACCCAATGAATTTTGACTGATGATATTGGGGTTATATATATATAAATATATGCACATATATCAACAGGATACTTTATCATGGCTGTGGGTTTACCTTTACCAACTCTGGTATTACTAATTTATGTTACACAATACTAAATCTTGATAAATATATCACCTGGCCATCTTTTCAAGTATCACGATTTCTTAACTTGCGTTCTTTGAGTAAATGAATAAATTTCTGTGTTTTGAGTGTGTGTCAGATTTGATGCTCTCTATGGCATGACTCGTAATCATGTTAACCGTTACAGCCTTTCAAACTTAAGAATGTAGTAGCAATATTGTTTGCATAAAGTTCAAGATATGAAGGAAGAGCCATCAATTTAAGACATTAGTCCTACCTCCTCAGTTTCTAGTTATCCTATACAATACTTTCCCAATCTCATTGTCAGTTAGATCTTAAACTTCATCATGATCAGTGTTGCTGTTTTGCTAAACTTTGAACACAGAATTTGCGACTTAAAAGTGTTGGTTGATTTGCAATAGCTGGCCTATGAGTTTGACTCTAGAATGTATAAGCATATTCATACCTGATAAAATAAAACTAAGGGTGGCTCCTTCTGTAGGTTGCCTCAGATATGCATCAATTGTGTCAAATTTGCTAATGAAATAAGGATGGCATCCTGTGGCCAATTGACCAGGGCTTGATATTGCACAAATTGATGATTGTCTGACCTCTTTTGCTATCGAGATCAATTCTTGTAAAAAGGCTGTATTAATCTTTTGCATCCAGCACCAATGGCTACATATGGACTCTGTACTTCTGTAGTTAAATATGATAATATCATATTCCATAGAAGATAATAGGTAAGTAGTGCCTACTTCACGCACTTAGGCAAGAGTAAGTCATAAGGAGGTTTTATTTAAAGAATTTGGTAACTGATGGGATCCATGTGAAATAATTATTTCTATGATAGACTAAACTGCGTTAATCATTATAGAGATGATGCTGAAAAATGAATGTTTCAGTTGACATTTTTGATATCCGTAGACAAATTTGCTTAAACTGTAGGCATTGCAAGCATACTCGTTTCAGTTTCGTGTTAGCTAACACCTGGGAAAGAACATCTGGTTATGTCACATGACAATCTCTTGTGCTCGGTTCGATGTAGTTTTAAATCTTGTGCCCTCCATTTCATCCTAAAGGTTATAGCTATGTGCTGGATTTCCATATCTCTTGTCAGGAAATAAATTTAGCCTTCAATATGAGACTGTTGTGATGTATAATTTGATCTGATACTGGAGTCGTGAGTTGTTTTTATTCTAATTTTCTTCATCTGATTAATTTTTTTTATTTGTCTTTCTGATTATATGTCCTCTGTTTTTTGGTTGCTTGATGTCTTAAAGAATGAGTTTGGTCTTTAGTACATAACCTGATGCGTATTTGTGTACTCTTGGTTTTGTTTGCAGGTATCGCATACAAAGTGATCGGAAAGTAGCTATATGTAGTGTACATCCATCTGAGCAAGCCACATTGCAGTGCCTAGGATGTGTTAAAGCCAAAATACCTGTTACTAAAAGTTATCACTGCTCTCCTAAATGTTTTTCGGATGCATGGCAGCATCATCGGGTTCTGCATGAGCGTGCTGCTAGTGCTGTAAGTGAAAATGGAGCTGAGGACGAAGAGTTATATGGGCGCTTCAATAGCACGGGATCTGGGGTGGTGAACACAAACTTATCTGGTTCACTGTCAAACCCTAACTTGGCAAATGGTGCAGCACCTTTATATCCTGCGGGGGTTACACAAAGGAGTGGTGGTGAAACTTGGTTTGAAGTTGGAAACACTAAAAGATATACACCAACTGTCGATGATGTTGGCCATGTCCTAAAATTTGAGTGTGTTGTGGTCGATTCAGAAACAAAACTACTTGTAGGACATGCCAATACGATATTAACGTCTCGTGTCATTCCGGCTCCATCTCCTAGTCCACGCCGCTTGATATCAGTTAGTGGAATTGATGTCATGGGGCATATTGATTCAGATGGCCGTATTTCCACTGCAGGAACATTTACCGTGCTTTCATACAACGTTTTAGCTGATGTCTACGCCACCAGTGAATTATACAGTTATTGCCCCCCTTGGGCTCTTTCTTGGCCTTACCGCAGGCAGAATTTGTTACGAGAAATTGTTGGCTATGGTGCAGATATTGTTTGTCTTCAAGAGGTATGTAAGCACAATTAAGAGCTATTGTTTGATAAGTATTGAAAATGATTCTATAATCTGTATTTTACTTAAGTTTTGGAAATTGACTCTGGTAAATGTCTATCTTCTGTAACTTTGGAATATGACATTCTTGTTGGAAAGCTGGAAGCTGAGGAAATGGAACATTTAACTGTTTGCTTATTTTTGCAAACTGATTCCTTGAAATTTAAATATGTAAAGTAACTTTTGGTTAGATAGCCATGCTTAAGGACCAAAGCAATTATTATATTTAAAAATCCTCATTCCAACTATTTACTTGTACTTCGTTGGATTAACTGATGGCCTGGATGCCGAGAGCTTGTTTTTCTGCAAATGGGATCAATGAAAATGTTCATCAACATACTGTCTTCAGGGTGTTTAGTTGTCAAGCTACTCTCTTTTGTTAAAGCCAATAATTAAGCTTCTTACTTTGTGATAATGGCTTCTTTGGAGAACTAGAAATGTTATTGAAAATGCCTCCAAAAATGTTTGTGGTTAGTAAGATAATTTTATAGAACTATAAATGATATGTATAGATATAAAGAGTGACATCCTATTCCTCCCCCATGTACAAGAACGCTCAATTATATGAAAACCAGACTAAACAGAAACATCCAAAACCTAAATGAAACAACAAAACTCAGAAAAAAGAGAGAAAATCTCCCAAACCTGCAGAGCAGATGGGTAAAAGGCAAAACCCAATTGCTGGGAAAGACAAGCAGCAAACACAGATCGAAAGCAAAAGTAATTGTGCCAACCAAAAGAGAGAGTTGAGCACACAAGGATAAACACCTGAATTAAAATATGACACAAAATTGACTCTTGACATGTTCCATTTTTTTTAAGCTTTCTATCTGCTTGAGAGTAAGGAATATGGGGAAGAGGCGTCAATATATATGTAACAGAGTCCAAGATATCTTTCTGAATGGAGACTACGGCCCTTTATTCATTTATCTGAATTCTACTGTTCTTTCCATTAGAAACTGTTGCAGCAAATAACTGCTTATTTGGCTGAAACCCCAACTGCTTGCCCTTTAAGTTAGAAGCTGATCACGGTAAAATATCAGCAAGGGGGCACAAAGGCCATTGGACTGGGCATTTAGCTGTAAGATAGAAACTAAATCCTAGCAGAAAACTGGAAATCACTATATCTGCAGGAGACACAAGATGCTGATTTAGTAATACCTTTTAATTATGATCTGTTGACCTCTGCTGTCCTACTTTCTGTGTTCATTTTAATGTTTTTCTGTAATCATACTTTTAGACATACTCACAGTGGAGTGGCGTGTTTCCTCAGATCTAGCTTACAACCAAAATATTACTGGCATCATCTGATTTTACTACCTTAGAATAATAGTGATAGTAATTAAAGATTTACCAATTATATGGAGATTACTGCATGTATATATAATTATATTGTTTTGTAAGGTTGAACATGCTTTTAGACGTTGACTAATGATGGTTATATCTTTTTCTTTGCAGGTTCAAAGTGATCACTTTGAGGAATTTTTTGCCCCTGAGTTGGACAAGCATGGGTATCAAGCTTTATTTAAAAGAAAAACAGCAGAGGTTGGTCAATGAACTCATGCCCCACGGTTGTAGCCTCTTAAAAATTGTTTATGTTTATTAGGCCAAGTTATCGTCGTTGTGTGCAGGTTTTCAGTGGAAGTATTCGTACAATTGATGGTTGTGCAACATTTTTTCGCAGAGACAGATTTTCACATGTGAAAAAATATGAGGTTTGAGGGTGTTCTTGCTATAAATTTATGTTTTCTATAAAATTTTGTACATTTGGATCTAATATATGCTTGCGTCCAGGTTGAATTTAATAAAGCTGCACAATCTCTGACTGATGCTTTGGTTCCTAGTGCTCAGAAAAAAACTGCTCTAGGTCGACTGGTTAAGGTAGTTTAGTTGCATCTATGTTTTATTTTCTTTTATTATTTTTTTTGGGACAAAACCCCTATGGTGATTTGTTGCATGTTTGCTTTCTGTGCTTATAAAGTTCATTTATTTATTTTTTGTAGGATAACGTTGCACTGATAGTGGTTCTAGAAGCAAAATTTAGTAACCAGGGGGTCGATAATCCTGGGAAACGCCAGCTTGTTTGTGTTGTAAGACTTAATTAAGTTTTTGCTTTTGTTGTTAATATTTCAGTACTGCTACTACCGCTCCAACTATTATTTCTATTCGACAATGTGTCATGTCACTGGAATTGTGCAACACATGTTGCTTAGTGAAGCTGCTTTTTTTCTTAGAACAAGTAGCTTGACCAAGGACAATGGATGGCCATCTTAGGCCAGACTATCACTTTAAAGATGCATTATGGCTCATGCTGGTGCAGTATAATATTGTGCCTAAGTACCATATCTGCAGCCTTATCGGAAAAGAAAACTAAGTAATTAATCGATGAAAACATAAAGTAGCATCATTTGTGCATTCTTTATCAATGAAAACGTTTATGCGGGAATTTTATAAAGTAATTTTGCATAATTATACTGGTGGGATTGAATTTGAAGCTGGAACCAGCTGCAACTGAGGATGGTAGAAAATTAGAAATGCAGGCCAGGTCTTGTGGACCAGTAGTATCATTGACGATCAAGCCCGTCTTATTGTTGGGTATTGGGTCAAATGGTTTGGTCCACCACTGCAATGGAGTTTTTTATTTTAATTTTTTATTTTAAACTTTAATTTAAGAGAAGAGAGTAAACACCTGGCCAGTATTAATTAATGACTTGGTAGACTAGCAAGGTTAGCATGTAAGTAACCTAGTCTGTTGTGCAAGGACCAGACCTCGTGGATGGGCGGTTTTGGTAGATTGAATGAATCGTAACTCTCAGAAATCAAGTTTTTGGAGCTACAGCTACCTCTTGCATCTTACTTTTCATGGCTTCACACGTTCTCCGGCATGTAAAATAACAACCTGTCAGCAGTAGCCAGATTTTGGCATTTCATCATTCTGCCTTTTTCTTTTCATTGGTATTGTTTGGAGCATTAAATGACCATTTTTGCTGATGGTTGTGACATACAGGCAAATACACATGTAAATGTCCAAGATCTAAAGGATGTCAAGCTCTGGCAGGTTTTCATCCAAGGCCCATTTTATTGTCTTAATATGTTGCCATTTATTTGCCTCATTTGTTTAAAATATTCCATGGTGCTTGTCTCTCTTAAAAGGTACACACACTCTTAAAAGGATTAGAAAAGATAGCTGCCAGTGCAGACATTCCCATGTTGGTTTGTGGGGATTTTAATGCTGTTCCTGGAAGGTCCGTCTTCTGTTCTTATACAATTATATGGTTACTGTAAATTAGTTTGTGGCTTATTGATTATATGAAGGTATTGTTGAACTTTATTGCAGTTCTCCTCATGCACTTCTTGCAATGGGAAAAATTGATCCAATGCATCCTGATTTAGCCGTAGACCCTATTGGAATCTTGCGCCCTGCCAGCAAACTAACACATCAGCTGCCATTGGTAACATATCTTCTGATGACGCACTCCTTTAAGAGCTTGCTTTATGGATGTATCTGTTTACCCTTTCTAGTAAATTTTTTCCCATGGAGAAGGAAAGTTGTGTGAGTATATGTATTAGCTTCTAGTTTATTACTAATTGTGGCACTTTTTTTTTTTTTTTTTTAACAGGTGAGCGCCTACTCATCCTTTGCAAGAATGGGGGTTGGTCTCGGTTTTGAACAACAGAGAAGAAGAATGGACCCTACTACAAATGAACCCTTATTTACAAATTGCACCAGAGATTTTATTGGTACTCTTGATTACATATTTTATTCAGGTACACCTCTTGTGACATTTCGTTTTATATGTTCCATTTTCTTGTATATATATATATATATATATTTTTTTTACTTGTTGCAGTTTGTTATTTCTATCTTCATCCTCGTCTTTCCTGCCCATGTTTTCACTAAATCATGAGTGCTAGTAGAATTTAAGTGCTAGGTTATATATGCCCCACAGGGAAATATGAGTTTTAGAAATTTTTTTTTTTTCTTTTGTTTCAGCGGACTCTTTAACTGTTGAATCGTTGTTGGAGCTCTTGGATGAGGATAGCTTGAGGAAAGATACAGCGCTTCCTTCTCCAGAGTGGTCGTCTGATCATATAGCACTTTTAGCTGAATTTCGCTGCAAGCCTAGAACTAGACGCTAACGGTACTGGGTAGGTGACTACGTTACTACTGCTGCTGCTGCTACTACTACTACTATTATTATAGTTATAATTATATATAGTTCCCATTGCATTTTGCTTTTTGGGTTACACTGTTATAGTTTGGTTGATCTGCAGATGCGCTTATTTGTTGAATGGGTCATGATAAAAAAACACTCCTATGGAATGCATATAGAGTGTATAACTCCCTGTACCTTCAAAAAAATCCTTAACATTCAATTTTGGAGCAGACAAGGACTGAATGCTGAAAAGACTAAAGTGTTCCTCTATAACTGAATAAAAGATAATTAAATGTGAAATGACTAAAGTGACCCTCTTTTTTCTTTCCCTTCTTCTTCTTCATCATCACTGCCGACAGCAAGCATGCTGCCGGCGATGAAGACAGTTGCCGCCGGCGGCGACCAAACCAGGTCACTGCCGGCTTCCTCTCATTCAGGTGTGGTCGCTGGACCTTGCAGCGGCCAGGCCGCTGCATGTTCCTCATCAGTGGCGACCCAAGGTGGCTGCCCTTCTTCTGCAATCAACCAGGTTGCCGGAGCGCGACCTGGTGAACACCATGGATGGCGACCCAAGTCGCCGTCCCCCTCCAGTTGTGTTGGGTAGCTAGCAGCGGCCCAATTCCTCCACATCGCGGCCCAAGGTCGCTGCGGTCGCTATACCTCTTACGGTGACTCACCAGGTCGTCAGACTGTAGCTTCTCCGGGTCGCCTTCAAAAGTTTTGTTTCCTTTGCAATAGAAGCATTAGATACTTGATGCTTAGCCATGCCGAATGTAGGAGGAAGGAAGAAACCCTTAGAATTGAACTAGGCCGGGACTTCCACCACTTCCACGTTATGGATTGTTATGCTAAATTAGGGTTTATAATTTCACACACATATATATATATATAAAGGTATTATTGGAAGAGATAAGGGTATTTTCGGAATTTTATACCTTAAAAATGTCATGTGCAATACACATGACTAATTTTTTAACAAAACAGTGACTTCAAGCCCTTCTTTGCTCATTTTTTCAAACTTAACGGACTTATATACCCAACATAAAAGATATGGGGTTTTATTTGCCCATAATATAAACATTAGGGGGTGTTATTCTCACTTTGCCCTATGTGTTGAATTTGTCTGCAGTGATAATGTGCATATCTTGTTTATTAGTTCAAGTCCTGGCTGTTAGAGCCAAACAAGAAGCAGGGATTGTATTAGGTAACTATGAAGAGCTAAAAGATCAGTCAAATTTGACATCTTGTTAACAAAATTAAGGAATATTACATCAAACAAAAGAAATTTCAATTAAATTTATTATAGTAATGGAAAGTAGTTATTGTTTATTTGTTTTTTGAGATTTAATTGTGATTCTCTCTCTCTCTCTCTCTCTCTCGTTGTATCTTTACCTACATGACAATTAATGTGGTTTTCTGTGAAGAATTTCTATATTTTGGTTGTTTCTCGAATTAATACTTCTTTATGCTCTCAAAATTGTTTTAAAATGTAATTGTCTAATCTTATCTAGAGTGCATAAGCACTAATTATATAAACTATCCGAATACAAGTCTAAATATTATTGTTAACAACTAAAACTTTTTTAAAAATCTTATAAACTAGTCCTACTTTATTTCTGTGAACAAAATCTATTTTCATTATTCCTAACTTTCTCTATTTACCCATTTAGTTTTTTAGAGACATGCAATATTAACTCTGCTTCCAATTATAATGTTTAACGACTCTAATATTTTCACTGTCAGTGATTCTATTCTAACCATACGATTTTTGGCAAGGTTCTGTACCGGTGCTTGTCTAGTCGCCACACTAGGTTCCATTTTTCTTAAGTAAAATGTTAAACATCAGAAGCATATGTTAAATTGTGCCTAGGATTGTTTATCAGCTGTATTTTTCAGTACTTAAGTTTGAATATAAATTGAATGAAATAAAATGCATGTGCAAGAATTATTTTATTAAGAAATACTGTTTGTCGAAACTTAGTGTATTCACAAAGTAAAATATTGTAATTAAAGATACCAGAGGTGGTGCAACTTATATGCACGCTGCTATACAACGACCTGTTTCTGTTTCTTGGACAATAAATGAGTTCTCAAAAAAGTCCAAGAAAGTTTCATGGGAAGGTTTCACCTTGCCACTCAACTATTTCTGGTTAATAGACTAATAGTGCATCTCCTCATCCCCTTCAAATGATCACAGACTATGTAATAAAGGTCTCGGGAGCACCCACATCATCTCAATGTATTGCAGTTATTTGTACTGCATTAATTTATAAAGCAAAAACATAATGACATGAACTTATATGCTAAAAAAATCTCGTCGTTTCACTTTAAAAAGGAAACAAAGCGTGAGTATGTAGTCATGCAAGTTCAAACGTTTTTGCTGTGTTCTGTAATGGTAGAATATATGATTGATACATCTTTCATTATTGGAATTTCGAATGGTTACTTGCATAAGCTATTATAGTTGAGTCTTCAAGCCAAGACTGACTGATTTTTCGTGTTATTGTGTTTGAATAAATGTGACTCTCCTTGATCAATCATGACCAATATATATTGCCTACAGGTCCGAAGAAGTTGAACCCATGATATAGAAGTAGAGAGAGCAAAATGAAGATGAGTTATTGTAAGAATGGTAGATCATGCTCATTTTTCTTTTTCTTTTTCTTTTTTTCTTTTTTTTCTTTTTTTTTTTCATTGTTGCTATGATCTGCTCTGTATTATGCTACCTTTATCTCAATAGAAAATTTATGATTATGTTTTATTTGATACCTTTTTTCGATCTTTTATATATATATATATATATCCGGTAATATTTGCAGAGCAAATTTTTAGCCCCCATCTGTACTCGTGAGAGAAATTTCTCGCAAATCAGGTGTGGCCTACTGGCCTGCAGTTCTCAAATTTTTGGTTTTTCTAGGTTTTGATTGTAATTTTCCTTGGATACAAATCCTTTATCCTCTATATCTCTGTTTCACTGCAATCAAATTTATATTAGAAAGCAAAATAGCAATGTGGGATTTGGAGAAATTGATTATAAATTGTCAGGACCGTGGTGGGGGTTCCTATTTGTCTATTACGTATTATTTTTATTTTTATTTTTTAAGTTGATAGCTCTATTTAATTTCCGAGCCAGCATTTGATTCTTACCCTGGGAACTGTATCTTGTATGGCCTTACACAGTGTACCCAATGTGCATTTATCCAGCACAGCCCCATGGAGGGTGTATCGCAGTGAAATTTAAGAGTATTTTAGATGGTCCTTCGGTGTCTTGGCTGATTTCATTTTCGACGCAGAATTTAACCTGAGTATGGTTTTAACAGTCAGTTGCATTTCTAGATATGAGAGTGGCATATATCTGAACTATTAACTTAGTTCTTTGATTATAGTTTGATTCCCCAGTATAATGTGCGGTGGCGTGGTAAATATGTATTTTCAATGCCCCATGTCTACATTGTTGTCACTGTCGTTGTAAATGTGTGTAAATCTTAAGTTGAGATTGCGGACTTGATTGGAGTTGATTGGATGATAGATTTATACTGTATACACAAATTGGAGTTTGGTGTTGCATCTAACATATTCATTTTATAATTGTTCATTGGAGTTGGTCCAATAAATACGCCTGCCTAAACAAGCTTGTAGCCTTGTAGGGCTTCAGATGTTCCTTCGAGTAATGTTAATAAGGGAGTTTCTTCAGGACGAGTCAGTGAATCAGTTAATACATCTTTCAATCCTTAAGAGTACATCCCAATTTACACTGGGCTTACTACCATACATTTGGGGTTATATAATTGCATATAACAAGTAATTATTATAAAATAAAAGGTAAATTATATTGACCCTCCTGAGATTGGGTTAAATTACACAATAATAGATCTTGGGTTAAATTACACAATAACAGATCACTTTGACCTTTAAAAATGTGAAGTATCTTTCATATATTTATCTAATTTAATAAAAAAAGGATTTATTAAAGTAAAAGATTCTATAACCCTTTTATTTCTTATATTATTACCGTACCTCTTTTATTACAAAAAAAAAAAAAAAAAAAATACAAAACAAAACTAATCAAACCCTAAAAAGAAACCTAATCAAATTTCATTAACAAAAAATAAAAAAAATTAATAATATAAAAATGGTATGAAAATTAGTACTTTGACATTTTATAGTATTTTTTTTTATCATTTCTTGTCAAAAAATAAGGTAATTGAGATTTTTTTTAACGGCAATTTCATCATTTTTTGAATTTTCGTTGAAGCTCTCTACCTGCGAGAAGGAAATGGCTTGGAATAGCGAGGGGCTGGCATTTCACTTTGGCTTTTGATACGACTCTTCTATGAGTCGTCAATCTTCATTGCCAGTGTTAAATTTACCTAATTATTCTTGTTTAAAAAAAACCTATAATCATGTTTATGATTCTCGCACCTTATTGATGATAATAAGTGATGGTAATGTTTTTGTCTCTGCAGAGGATCAGTCTCCATGCAATATCTAAAAGTAAAGAATTGGTATTTTACACGACTCCGTATACTTCATGAAGCCACGCAAAAACAACCATCTGATGGCCATGAAAACTAGAGGAAATCTGACACTCACAAGCAATTTCACCAATGTTAACATCACTCCATACAAGAGATCAATCCTTTCGTGAGGGACCTATCGAATAAAGAACTTCTGCTTCCCCAACTTGTCAATTGTACTCTTTAGTCAAATATGAGTAGTATTTATGTTATCAGGTAGAGACTATATCGTTAACCAACATCACAAAAACAAAATAAATAATAAAGAGCCAAGAAGTTTATTTTGTACAGTAGCATTATACATCGAAGAATCTCATGTCTCTCTCTTTCATATCTTGAGTATCTTCCACCATTCATGTATAACTACATAATCGGCAACAGTTGTCCAAGTCTACATCATTAGCCTCCAAAATTTGCAAACAGTAATATCCACCTAGAAGTTGATAAAACAAGATCATTACTGACATCAACTGCAGGTCCAAGGAATGATGAAACTGTACTAGACCTAACAATGGTCGACACTAAAACAGCAATTGTAGGATAGTTATACGTTAAAAGGGAATTGAATGCTTATGCATTGGCTAGAATATGACGGTACTGGCTCATAACATGCTAATTTTCATTTTGGTAGAGACTCCGGCTAAACTATAAGAAGCACGTTCACTTCTAAAAAGGTGTGATGCCCTTGTTATAGTGACATTTCATATACACTCTTGGACACATGCCCGACACTTGTAAACCTATTTCTGCATCAATTACAAATACATGTTTTAAATCTAAAAAGACAGTGGCTTCAAAAGCAAAATGGACATGCCAGCGCAACACTTTTTTTTTTTTTTTAAACAAAAAGAAAAGAAAAGTAGAGAGTATATGGCACAAGGACACCATATTTTTAAATGAAAAATTCTGACATAAAGGACTTAACCATCCAGAGAAAAACCATTGCATCAAAGTTAATAGGAATCTTTAAATGATTTGTTGGTTTCACATTTTATTTCTAGGAACTAGCAAGTTTCCCTGCATATCTTAAGTGCACATCAACAGGTCAAGTGTGGTATAGCTTGAATATAAATGCTATGAAGATGATTATAATTTTATCAGAGTCTACAATGCTGGTGGTTTGTTCAACTACTGTGGGAGCATATAAATAGGTTGGTGGATACCTTGATGGAAGGAGAAAATCATTTTGCCACTTCCATAAACCATAAGATCAGCTGTGCACTTTGAAGCACCTCAGATATGGGAACAAGTGAAGCAGTTCTTCATGGCTCCGTCGCTGCAAGGACAACAGATTCACACTGTAAATAAGGTGCGGATGAGGGTCATCCACAAACTTGTGCAAAAGGATTTCACAAGAGAAAACAGGATGATTAAAGTGATTAGGTGATGTCAACTAGTCTAGGTACTTGAAGTCAAAGGACAACTAGGTTTGTGTGTGATTTGGAACAAGGATATATATAATAAAATATAATAAACATAATAGATGTAATAAATATAGTCTTACTAAAGTAATAGATGTACAAAGGACAAATGGGTTCAGACTTTGACTTTGCCTTGAAATTATCAATTAAGAATTAATTGTCTAGCAAAAAGGATATGCAAAGTTATAAAATGTAAAAGGTGCCGATGAATGACATCCGCGAAAGTGTGCGAGAAGACCTTGATCACGTGACAGTGCGGATTGCATAAATCCGCAAGTCCTAACTATATGAAGATTAATGTGGGGTCCGCAGGACCATTGCATGATACTTGGGTATTATATACATATATATGTATATGAAAGGGATTTATAATGCTTTTGGGATGAGGAAATGGGGCACTCTCCCTCGCCGGTGTATCTTGAGAATCTTTAAATTTGTTATTCCGAAGGAGGGAATAAACTTATAAAGAAACTCTTGATGCATCCTAGGACGGTAGCGACACATTGAGACAACGATTATGCGGTTAAAGCAAAAGTGCATTTTGAAGAATACCTTGACCAAACAATCACATAGATTGAAGGACAAGGTGTAATATGCAATGTCACTTACGCCCAAACTCATAACCTGGTGTCGTGTACTGTGGCATTGACCTAGAGAGCATTGAACTAAGTTTTGCTGCTAAAACAGGAGAAAGCTAGTTGCAGGCTATTGCCAAGGATTGGTAGATAGAACTGGTTAAAGAACACAATCTAGGTCCGGAAGCTATATCTACTTGCACGCAGTGATATGGCTTAGGCGACTATGGTGTCACATTGAGACATGTAGCGTCATAGACCCAAACGGGAAAATGGGTTGATTATGGAATGGAGGATTGAGAGGGAGGTTCGTTAGATTACACGGTATAGGAACGCGACTAATGGGCGTACGGATCCGGCATCCGCGTGCCATAGACACCCCTCATTGATACAAGTGATCCGTGACCCTCCAAGGGTATATCTGTAATTTGACCGGAATTGTTGCAGGTGGTGGATGACAGCTATAACATACCTTGCCATGAGCCCTATAAATACCCCCAAGGGCCATGCATGGGAGGACACGTCAAGAAGGCCCCACTTCCACTCTACTTCATTTTTGCTCTCTCTCTCTCTCCCTCCCATTCATTCCTTTCGGCTCATTCTCTCTCTCTCTCTCTCTCTCTCTCTCTCTCTCTCTCTGTGTTCGATTATTTCATTAAGTTTGATTCCAGTCAAAGCATAGGTGATTTCTCAAGCTTCTGAACCCTCACATTCACACACACTAAGACAGTGTAAGAAATTATTAGGGAAAATCAGCAAATATTTTTGGGTGTCTGAGAAATGACAATAGCCCAATCCCACCCTCTTCCGAAAAATCTAAAAATACCTATATATACAAAAAATCGGCAAATTGATAGTTAAACCATCCTTACTACTATGTTATTTGGTGATTTTAAACACCATAAGCTACCTACCCGATTAGGGGAGCACTCCCATCTCATGTTATCCATAAATCTTTGTATAAAGACTATGGATTGCATATGTCAACACAAGAAAGGTTAATTATCTATTTAGATAAGAAATATTTCATTTACCTTGATGCCAATGCATCCATTCACATCGAGAGTAGAAAGTGTGTTTGAGCAGAACCTTGAGAGGGCTTCCAGGCACTTATCAGTGACACCAACAATTCCAAACAAACTGCAATTTTTCATTCCATGACATCAGTAACAGAATCTATATCAATAAAGAACTAATTAATAGCCAAAATGTTACTGCAAGGACAAAGGATTTCATCACGACAGCCTGGACTACCCTACATACTCATCAATCTGACTAGTGCTCTGCATCAATAGAAATTCAAGTTGCGATAACATTGAGGAAGCTGGATGACACTGATATCTTCCCTTAGGAGAAAGTTTAATCAATAACAAATCATAACATTCTGATTGTGACAGTTCCATGAATTTCATATTTCTTTCTAGTCTTAAACTATCCATTGCTTTCCATTTTATTGCAATATAGCAGAATATATATGAGACTATATTAATAGCGTAAATTTGAACTTCAAGTAGATGGCCCAATGAATGTGGTATCCTCTTTGAAGCTACCAAAAGCGCTCACATTCAAGATTTAAATAAAGAATGTCAATCTTTCAAATTTAATATTGTTTCTCAAAATCAAGACTTACCTAAGAAATTGAAGGGAACTGCAACCTTGTGCAATGGCTATGATCCCCACATCGGTGACACGTACACACCTGTTCAGACATTAGACATTGGTTCATGGTCAAAAGAAACTCAACTTATTTGGCTCCAAAAAATTAGAAATGGAGATTAATAGCGCTTCACCCACCACGTCAGATTAAGAGAGACCAGATTCTTGCATTTGGCTATGCAAGAAAGTCCTTCATCAGATAGATTCTGAAATTCAGATTCCTAGTCAGTTCAGTGTCTATCAAAGGAAATTCCAAGTGATAAATTTTGTTCAATATTATAATACCTGAGCACCACAGAGGTCTAAGAATCTAAGATGGGGCAAAAGTGATATCTTCTTGTAAGCCTCATCTGTAAAGCTATATTAATGAATGAAAGCAATTACATACATTAGAAACCTGAAATAACCTAGTGTGAACTTGAAAATATAGAACTTCTAATGAATACCTTGAAAGTGCATAGAGATTTAGACTCTGAAGAGAATTGCACTTGCATAATATCTTTTGCAAACCCCCATCTGTTAGTTTGATGCACCTACAAAACATCCAAAAGATATATGAAACTCATAGACCCTCGGAAAGGTAAAGTTTTTATCCATAGAAATTAAGTTTGACTTGATTACTTTTTAGAATTGCAAAAAGGTTTCAAGATCTTTGATTGGGAAAGTTAAAATGACTAAATTATAAAGACTCAGCATGACCAAGTTTTATGCCATTAATATGGAGCATGAAAGCATCCAGTTTCCATGTTTAGATGAGTCAGGCCTAAAATTTGTGAAACTACTCTAATCTACATAAATCAAAACACAAACCTGGTGAGGTTCAATGATTCCAATTCTTCATAATTGTCAGCAACTAATTGCAAACTTTTGTTTAAAATATTCTGTAATTGCCACATCAAAGTACTCTATTTCAGACAACCTTCAAGATGCAGAAAAACTCAAGAGCTGAGGAATAAATACAACATACACCATGAACTTATTAAAAAGGATAGAAATAAGTCAAATAAGTTTGTATATATTACACACCTCAAAAGAAAGGAAAAAAAAAACTCTTTCTCTACTTAATCCCACATCAACCACACTAGATTCTCGAAAGAAGCAGATTAACACTTGCAGTATCTCACTGAACTTCAAATCATTATAGCCTTGTGAATTTTTAAAATTTCAAAAATATATGTATATATGGTTGAGCAAACAGTCAATAAATGGCTCATATATAGCACTTAGCAGAGTTGTTTAGAGAAGCAGAACTGAGAGAGTATTTTCCCATGTTTGGGCTCAAGCTTTCTTATTATTTTTTCCATTTATTGGCTTGAGTGAGGAATACATATCCCCCCCACCCCCACCCAACACCTTGTTATTTTTCCTATCTGATATTCCTTTTTTTTTGGCTATCTTGTTGTCACTACAGCACTCAAATTTGAATTACATCACTTTTTATCGGTGGCGTACAGTTACTAGTCTTCTTTGCACATGAAAATAATACATTATCCTACATTTTATTCAAATGCTGATGCCTATTAACTTCTCATGAGTGCATTTATATGTAATGCTATCCTTTTCTTGTCTTGCTACTCATATAGTTCAACATCTTTTCAATAGCATATGGGAGATATTCTAATACCTAGGAACATAGATAAGACGCCCAATATTTTAACGAATCCCATAAATACAGCAAACCCCCTACTTCCCCCCTTCTTTCTTTTAAAACCCAAGGCTCAATTATTTCGTAATGTGGGAGCAGGTTCCATCTGTAAACAATCCTCTGAAAAAAAAAATTATGAAATAAATTAGTTATTCATTAGAAAATTGGAAGAAATAGAGGAGGGCTAAAAGCTTGAAACAGAAGTCATAGCAAAGGCATAAATTAGGTCCACTTTATGTTCTGAACAGATAATGCATCAATCAGATTTTACTGCAAGGCTTCTGTTTTTAATATTAAGCGCTTCAAGTATCAACCCCTATTTTCATTAACATCATCATACCCTTGACCCATCCATATTGATTAAGAATCAATAAATCCCTTTCAACCATTCTACATAATCTAGTTCCCCATTTTCTCCCAAAACATGTGGTAACACTTGTTCATCCTATTTTGTTAATTAAGGAGCAGTAAAAGGAACTTCAGAAAGTTTTGCTATGTTAACAACAATCTACTCTAAAAGCTTAAGTTGTTAGAGAATGTGTAACTTTAATATTTAAATCCTCTACTATGCCCCCTCACGTGTGGCCTTCTTTTGGTCCAACACGTGTTTTTTCAATTTTAATTCTCAGGGTGACGGTGAGGTTTGAACTCGTGACCTTTGGCTCTGATACCATGTTAACAAGCATCTACTCTAAAATCTTAAGCTGTTAGAGAGGATGTAACTTTAATATTTAAATCCTCTAACATGCACCATCAAAAAATAACTGATCTTACTATTACATCAGTAAACAGGCTCCATCAAAAAAAAACTGATCTTACCATTACATCAGTAAATTTCTCCTTCAGGCTAATCTGTTTGTTTCAAAGGAAACATATGACTAAAACATTTCCTTTACTCCTGTATTAAGTTGATATCAACAAAGTAAGTGTTCAATTTGGTTCTTTTCATGTTGGACATAATCAAGTGAAACAAATTCCATTCTTCAGTTTTTTAAGATAAAAAGAAAAACAATACGGAAAATCCACTTAACAGGATGGAGTTCGCAATAAATATATTAACACAAATAAATTGGATTTGCATTCAGTCACCAATGATATACCTTACAGCCACTCAAGTTCAAGTCAACTACGTGTTTGCAATTCTTCACCAAATGCTCTATACCAATATCTGTAACCCTGAAGCTCAATTTTTAGACAAATGTTCATGGGTAATCATAAAAACAAATTTGGTTTTATTGTAAATAGTACAAAGGTAGGCATGCAAATTCAGGTGAACTTCAAAATACCTTACATTCCAATAGATTGAGAAGACCCTCAGTCTAGGACAAGCAGCCGTTATAACTTCAAGTCCCTTGTCAGAGATCTTTTGGCAGCCATTCAGATTTAATGACTCCAGGTTTTGAAGGGAATCTAAATGCTGCAAAAGAATATCAAGAAATGATAGAGAATTTCTTCAAAAAAGTATTGCATACTTCATGAGTTTTCATGTGGAAATATTTAAAAGTCAAGAAACATATTTGAACCAAATTTATAATTTCCTCAAGAATCTTGGAATTTTTATGTTGACAATTAGCTGCCAAAAAGCTTAATCTATCAGAGGAGGTCTAACTTAAGCATTTATACCACATGCCCCAATGTGCAGCCAAAACTGCACCAAAAGAAGGGAATCATGGGAAAATATTATATATTGGGAGGGTGCATTTCTAATGTACAGACCCTGCCAGATTTGATATTATGATAACAACGGACAACCAACTTTAAAACCATTAAATGTCACAGAGGGTGTATTTTAAGCATTTATATCCTCAACAAACTATCAGAATTTCTTCGAACTAACATCAACAAATTAAAATAGGCATTTGGGAAATCCTTTGAGTTTATTCTGTATTTCAAACTTTAATTGTTTCAACCAATAAATGAATAAATTAACAAAACTCAATTCAAAAGATTTCGAGATGATATTGTATTAACCAGTAATCGCAGACATACAAAGTCAGCAGATTACACAAGAAGAGGCAATACAAATAAAAAATAAAAAAATACAACAAAGCCACTTCAATCTGTACAATGACATAATATGAGATGAAAAAGCACCGATCTTCTAGAGCTATGAACATAAGAGAATTGTGTGAATTTTATACAACCTTTTCCTCAATACTCCTCCACATGCACAATCTAAGAATTCTCCTAGCTAAGACTCCCTAATTCATTAGCACACTCATCAACAAGTACGAAATTTGGTGATATGAATCAGAGATGTTACCTTGCTATTGAGGATATCAAGATGTCTGTCTTCAATATCTTGTGCAAATTCAAGGTTTATGTGCTTCACATGGTGATACCTAGGCTGTGAAATACAAAATACAATCGCCACGATTAAATCATCATCAGTAATCCATCACCCTCCTATTGGTTGCTGGAAAAACATTAGGTGTTTAGAGTAAAAGTATATGTCTTTATTTTTGTGTAGTCGTTTCCATCTACTCCACTAACCTGATATGTGTCTTTGAGTAAGTTGTGCACAATCAAAATGTGACTATCTGAGAATAAAACAATTTCTCTATATATATTGAGGATGCGGCAAGTGGCATGGGCCGGATATGGATCGCGGAAACGAGATCGGGTCGAATGATTGAAGAAGGATCCATGTCAAAGCACCCTGGAGTGGGCCGAACGTGGGGGGTCCACCGAGGAAGGTCAAGCCCATTACAAGACCCAGCCCAGAAGGAAGAGAACTTTGGGCTATAAGCCCAATGTAATTGGTTAACTGCAAAAGAGGGTCTTGGCCTATAAATAGACCATGACGGAGGGAGAGAAAAAGAAAAGAGAAAGTAAGAGTGAGAGAGATGAAACTGAATACTGTAGAGTGAGAGAGATGAAACTGAATATTGTATCTTCAATTGGCGCCGTCTGTGGGAACCGAGGACGAAGATCAATTCGAGCCCGATCAGTACCATATTAGTTCAATCGAGTTTGTGAATATGCAGTGTAACTTCTGGAAGTTGAATCCAAATCAGTGAGATTGTAGTTTGCTCCGAGAGAATTCTTGATTATTGTGGATTCTGAGGCATTTGCTTTGGAAGGACGCAATTGCGATTCGATCAGTTGCAGTCAGATCCGACGAGTTTGAAGCTAGAAAAGTTCAGATCTAACAAACAGCGATCACGATTCGGTAAAGTTAAGCCCAGATCTAGCGGAGTTTGCATCGGTAACGCTTAGATCTGTTTCGAAGTTTGTAATTCATGCCTTTGCTTCGATCTGGAATCATTATAGGGGGTGACAACTCTAATACGGTTGAGAACATCCAGCAAGTGAAACTCGATGAGTTGATGAACATGATCAAAGCTCTCCGGAGAGAAAATGCAGATCTAAGGAATGAGATACAGCGTCAAGAAGCTCCAGTAATTCCACGACCACTTCCGGTAGGCGAAAAAGGTGCACGTACCGATGCAGCACATCACGGTGAAGAGGTTGAAAACAATCTAGTTAATCCTCACCGCGAGGAAATTCGGCGAGACGGTCTGCCGCCAAATCTTCGTCGTATGGATGATCGTGAAGGATCGATTCACATGGATCCACGGCGTGAGCAGATCAGGCGAAACGAAGCGATGACTTTTGATCCACATCAAGAAACGCTCAGCCGAGGTGAAGCAACAGAGTTGATTCGTCAGAAAGCTATGCCTCCATGGCGCAAGGACTTTGTTGAGGATAGATCATTCGATCCGACCTACCGGCCTTCCATGACGACGTTTGACTATCACAGCTCAGAGAGGAGATCAGTAGACCAGAGAGCAGCCGCGGGATTCCAGAGGGAGAATGAAGCACTCTGTTCAGCAGCTCGAACGGTGGATTCACCGTTCACCGATGAGATTCTGAATGCTCCGAGTCCGAGGAAATTTTCCATGCCCGTTTTCATTCTATTCGACGGAACGACTGATCCGATCGATCATGTGTATCACATCCAGCTGAAAATGGCTCTAAACACTGAGAATGATTCTTTGATGTGCAAGTGCTTTCCTACGAGTCTAGCCGGACCAGCTCTGAATTGGTTCAAGAACCTGCCGAGGGGTTCGGTGGATAGTTTCCGAAGCCTGTGCGATCGGTTTATAAGCCAATACTATGGAAACAAGCGTCCAGCGAAAGATATTTCGAGCCTATTCACAATGAAGCAACACGCTGAAGAGCGTCTCTAGGCTTTCCTAACCAGGTTTAACCTTACCAAGAGCATGGTTATTGAATGCCATCCTTCAACGGCAGTTCAAGCATTCATTCTGGCTATGAATCGTGGCACCCCGTTCCACACAAGTTTGGTGGTCAACACGCCGAGGACTATGGATGAACTCAACGAAAGAGCCGATGGATTTGTACGCTTGGAAGAAGAAAAGGCGGCAAACGCTCGGAAGACATCTGTTATATCCACTGAAGAAAAGACCAAAGCAAAGATCAGGCAAAAACAGGTCCAACCGCAACGCTCCTCGTGGAAATCTGAGAAGAGGCCCAGAGAGGAAGAGCTGGTTACTCCATTGAAAGTTACCCTAGCAAGACTGTACCAAGAAAATAAAGATAAGTTCCGACCTCCTTTACCAATCAGGCAACCTCTCGAACGGAGGGATCAGTTTAAAAACTGTGCATTTCATTCTGATTTTGGCCACCAGACTAATGAATGCAGGAACCTCAGGAGACAGGTAGAGATGCTGATAGCCAGAGGGGAGTTCGCAAGTTATATTCAAGGACCAGCGGTGGAGCAGAATCGGCCAATGGAGCATGTGAAGAAGAATTAGAAGTCGAATTCTCACAACACGCAACCAGTTCGAGTAATTAATGCAATTCACGGTCGGCCAGAACCTGATGAGGAATCAGATGAATTGCTTCGAACACGCCTTCGTCAGGCACGGATGAAGAGAAGGATAGGCAGTGTAAACACTCTGCACAAGCAGAGCACATCAACGCAGATAAAGTTTGACGCGACAGACTTGTTGCGTGTTCAGATCCCTCACGAGGACCCGCTGGTCGTAAGTTTGACAGTGGCCCAATGCTTGGTGCGCAGAGTTCTAATTGACCCTGGAAGTAGTGCGAACATCATGCCAAGAGATACATTCGATCGGCTCGAGATCAAACAGGATCAGCTAAAATCCACCGGGAATCCACTAGTAGGGTTTGATGGAAAGCGAGTGGAGCCCGTCGGCACGGTGGAGGTAGCGGTACATGCTGCCGAGAGAGTTTTGATGGAAACTTTTGTAGTTGTTGAAATTCATCCCTCCTACAATCTTCTGATGGGCAGAGAATGGATCCACAGGGTTCGAGGTGTTCCTTCCACTCTGCATCAGGTAATGAGATGCCTAGCACCAAACGGAACCAAAGTGATTGACATTCATGGGAACCAGGTTGCAACTAAAGAATGTTACTCTGTAACGCTGAAACATGCCAGAAAGGGGAAAGCTCCCATTCGTTCAGTAAGCCCGAGATAGCAATTACAGGAGCCTCCCTCCAGGCAGAACGGAGAGGAGGAACCAAAGGGCTTGACTGAAGAACCCTTGCTTGATGTGCAGATCGATCAATTACGACCGGAACGGACAACCAGAGTAGGGGAACGACTCATTGAGGAGGAAAAGCAGGAATTAGTTGATTTTTTGTCTCAAAACGCAGATGTGTTCGCATGGAGTCACCTGGACATGCCCGGGATCGATCCTTCGGTATCTTGTCATTCCTTGAACGTTAATCCCAATGCAAAACCTGTAAAACAGAAGCAGCGACGGTTTGCCCCCGAGCGCAACCGAATTATTGCCGAGGAAGTTGATAGGCTGCTTGATGCGGGGTTCGTAAGAGAAGTGCACTACCCCGACTGGTTATCGAATTTGGTCGTTGTACAAAAAAAAAATGGGAAATGGCGCGTACGCATTGATTTTACCAATTTAAACAAGGCTTGTCCGAAGGACAGCTTCCCACTGCCAAAGATTGATCAGATGGGGGATGCAACAACTGGATATGAACGCCTGACCTTTTTAGATGCTTATTCGGGTTATAATCAGATCCCCATGGACCCCGCTGATGAAGAAAAAACTTCTTTCGTTACTGAACGCGGGACGTATTGCTACAAAGTTATGTCGTTCGGACTAAAGAACGCCGGGGCAACTTACCAAAGGCTTATTAGCAAGATTTTCAAGGAACAAATAGGGAAGACAGTGGAGGCTTACATAGATGATATGGTGGTCAAAAGTAAGAAGAAAGCCGATCATGTGCAGCACCTTCGAGGCGTGTTTGATGTTTTGCGGCGGTATGGGATGAAGCTCAATCCGACCAAGTGCTCGTTCGGTGTAAGTTCAGGCCAATTCCTAGGGCACGTGGTTAATCTCGGAGGGATCGAGGCAAGCCCTGCCCAAGCAGATGCTCTGACTAAGAATGCCGAGCCGACAATAATCAAAGAGGTGCAAACACTTACGGGACGGATTGCTGCACTGAGTCGTTTCATTTCCAAATTGTCAGATCGATGCAAACCATTTTTTGACACAATCCGAAGCCACGGCAGGTAGGTTTGGGGAGATGAACAACGCCTAGCGTTAACTGCTTTGAAAAAATATATGCAGAACCTTCCGGTACTGTCAGCTCCAGAGTCGGGCGAGAAGCTGTTTCTGTATCTCGGAGTATCTAGCATTGCAACAAGTGGCGTTCTGATCCGCTACGCAGAAGGGAAGCAATACCCAGTGTTCTATGTTAGCAAAACAATGACTGAGGCCGAAAGGCGTTATTCAAAGGCAGAGCGGGTGATACTCTCGCTAGTGCATGCGAAAAGAAAGCTCAGGCATTATTTTGAATCCCATCCTATTATCGTTCTAACCACTTTCCCTATCAGAATAATCCTGCACAAACCAGATCTCTCCGGAAGAATGACTAAGTGGGCCATAGAGTTAAGCTCATTTGATATTACATACGAACCTAGAACAGCAGTCAAAGGGCAGGCGGTGGCAGATTTTCTACTAGAATGTGATTCAGAAGACGTGGAGGAGGATCTTTGTAAATGCTTATGGAAACTCTTCGTTGATGGATCCTCAAATCAGATGGGTGCAGGCGTTGGGATCAAACTGCAGACACCAGAAGGTACAACCTTAAGCCAAGCGCTTCGGCTTGAATTCGCAGCCACGAACAATGAGGCCGAATATGAAGCGTTGCTGGCAGGAATAAAGCTTGCCAAAGAACTTAAGGTCAGGAATTTGAATGTTTTCAGTGACTCACAGTTAGTCGTTCGGCAGGTGAGGGGTGAATATGAAACCAAGGACAAAACGATGGAAGCATATCGTTCTGTTGTTATGCGGGAGGCACAGAACTTTGAAAAAATTGAATTTATTCAAATTCCGAGGGAGTGTAACGGAGATGCCGACAGGCTAGCATGTAACGCCTCGGGTTCTGGAGAAACATTGGCAAGGGTAGTTCCAGTGGGAATTTTAAAACAGCCATCCATTTTCGAAGAGCCTTCAAGCTCAGATCCTTGGCAAGTGAATGTTATTCCATATGAGCCAAGCTGGATTGATCCGATCATAACTTACATCCGAGATGGTACTCTGCCTGAACAAAGAAATGAGGCTAGGAAAATCAAAGCGAATGCTGCAAAGTACGCCATAGTGCATAACCAGTTGTACAGAAGATCCTTTTCCGGACCGTACTTAAAGTGCGTTACCCCCACAGAGGCTCGGCAAATATTACGAGCTATTCATGAAGGTGTGTGTGGAAACCACTCAGGGGAGAGATCATTAGCACACAAAGCAATGGCTCAAGGGTACTTCTGGCCAAACATGTCGCGAGATTCGGAAGAATTGTCCAGAAGGTGCGATAAGTGCCAAAGGTTCGGACCACTGATTCACCAACCGCCTGAAGACTTGCATGTAATGGCCACACCATGGACTTTCGCGTAATGGGGGATGGATGTAGTTGGTCCTCTACCAACTGCCAGAGCTTAGAACAAGTATGTGTTGCTGGCTACAGACTACTTTACTAAGTGGGTGGAAGCAGTGCCATACCCGAGCGTTACTCAAACTCATGTTAGACGATTCATTTGGAGTAATATTATTTGCCGGTTCGGTGTTCCGAGGTCAATCGTCATGGATAATGGACCAACCTTGACAGTAAGCAGGTAAGAGAGCTATTGGAGGAGTATGGAATTAATCAAAAGCTGGCAGCAGTAAGTCACCCACAGGCCAATGGACAAGCAGAAATTACAAACAGAACAATCTTTACTTGTATTAAGAAGAAACTAGAAGAAAGGAAAGGAAGGTGGTTAGATGAACTGCCGAACGTCCTATGGGCCTACAGAACGACCCCAAGAAGACCGACTGGAGAAAGTCCATTCACCATGGCGTATGGGACAGAGGCAGTTATACAGGTCAAGCACTTAGTTCCGACCGTTCGAAGCTTGGCCTGGAGCCGTGAGCATAATGACAAGATGCTAAGGTTTAACCTCGATTTGCTGGAAGAAAAAAGAGACGCAGCAGCGGTAAGGCTCGCCTCTTTCCAGCAGACACTTGCGAACAGCCATAACAGGAGAGTAAAGCACAGAGACTTTAGGCCAGGTGACCTGGTTCTGAAAAAGAAGGTGGGGATAGTCAAAAAGATGATGCCACCATGGGAAGGCCCATACAGAATTGCAGAGGCCATAGGAAAAGGCGCATATACCTTGAAAACCATGGCCGGAAGGCTGGTAAACAAGCCTTGGAATGCTACTTCTCTAAAGAGGTATTATCAATAAAAAGTTGAGATTCAGTACTGAATTCTGTTTATTTTAAATTGAAAACAGTTGAATGTATGAGTTTTTGAAATTTATAAAGATTGCACTCCTCTTTAAAAATCCTAAGCAAAGTAAGTGGCAGCTGGCATTATGAGCCGAGCGCCAAACACTTGCTAAGAAAAATAAAAGGCCAAGTGGCAAGAGGCATTCCAGTCGAGCGCTAGGCACCTAAGCAAAGTAAGTGGCAGCTGGCACTATGAGCCGAACACCAAACACTTGCTAAAAAAAATAAAAGGCCAAGTGGCAAGAGGCATTCCAGCCGAGCGCCAGGCACTTAAGCAAAGTAAGTGGCAGCTGGCACTATGAGCCAAACGCCAAACACTTGCTAAGAAAAATAAAAGGCCAAGTGGCAAGAGGCATTCCAGCCGAGCGCCAGGCACTTAAGCAAAGTAAGTGGCATTTGGCACTATGAGCCAAGTGCCAAACATTTGCTAAGAAAAATAAAAGGCCGAGTGGCAAGAGGCATTCCAGCCGAGCGCCAGGCACTTAAGCAAAGTAAGTGGCAGCTGGCACTATGAGCCGAACGCCAAACACTTGCAAAGTAAAAAAAAAAAAAAAAGAGTTGACACAAAAAATTTGATCAGGAGTCGGCCCTCTCATTAAATAAGCTTAAGAAAGTTACAAAAAGTAAGGTGTAAAGATGGCACATATGCCAAAGTCAGTACATTTAAACAAAAAACAAAAAAAAAAAAAAAAAAAAGAAGTCCTAACTAAGAGGCGTTTGCCTCGTCGGCCTCTTGATGATGTTGGGCCACCTCCTCATTGTTGGTGGTGTCGCCATCCTCACGAGGTGGAGAATCAAGATGAATGACAGAATCGTTCTGTTGAATCCTACCCTCTGCAGCGTTGGAAGAATCATTCTGTTGAGGGTTTTCTTTAGCAGTAACGGTAGATGGAGTCAAAGCGGACACAGGGAGAATGTCCAAAGGCAGAGCGGCAGGAGGAGTAGGAATGATCCGAGAAGACGCAATCTCCTGACATTCATCAAATATCCCCTCGGCAGCGGTTGAGTCCGGATCGATATAAACACCAGAAGGGTCAATATCCAGATCCTTATCAACATCATCAGGGTTAGAGCCAGTCTGACCCTCATCCGGGATGCGGTCGACGTAACCCTCTCGGAACCCCTGGGCATATCTGAGGGCCCCGACTCTAGAGAATCGAGCGTGCAGAGCTAGCATACCACCATTTACCCTGCTGATGGTATCAAGTAAAGCGTTGCGCTCGTCCAGGACCCTCTTCTCAAAAGACATCCGAGCGGACTGCTCGTCATTCAGAAGGCGAAGCAGTTCTTCCTTCTCCGCCCGAAGGGAGTCCCGTTCGGTCTGCCAAATACTCTTTTCAAGCTGGAGAACATTCCTCTCATCCTGAAGAGAGTCGGTTTCTCTCCTCAGCAAATCCCTCTCTTTTTCAGTTTTATCGAGTTGAACCATCAACCCGGTCTTCTGAGCGACTAAGTTATCGTTCTCCTTGTTCGCTGCGCTAAGGCTGTCAGAGAGCGCGCGAACCTTGGCATTCACCTGTTCAACTTGTTTTTGCATAGCCATCATCCCGTACAAGGTCTGTAGAGATATACAGGACAACTGGTTAAGCCGAGCAGATGGTTAGAAGAAAATAAGTGGCAAGAGTATGTAAAGATTTATTGACTAAGGGGTAGAAGTTACCTCCATGGCGGACAGGGGGAATCGGCTAAACACCTCCCTCTGAGATAGACCTTTGGCGACCTCGATGTCCTTGGGAGTCCACATACTCCTGTAGTAGGCCATCGCGATCTGACCATCTTTGAACATGGTCTCGGTCGGCTTTACAGACGATCCGTCTGTTCGGATGAAGCGAGGGCTCCATGGCGCCGTTCCTGAAGCAGAGGCTTGCCCAGAAGGGGTGGGGGGCCTAGCTTGAAGAGGTCTCGCCAGGGAAATCACATTCGGCCCAGAGGGCCTAACCCTCTGAGACAAGGGAACGTCATCCGCGCTCAGAGCACTGTCAGGTTGATGCCTTTTTCCTCTGGCCTTTTCCCGTGCAGAAGCAGCAGTAGAGCCAGGAGGATTGTTGGCAGAGGGGGCAACGTTCGGGCTGGCAGTCGCCGTGTTAGCGACCGAGTCAGCAGCCGTCGCGGATGGATCGGTGGAAGGAGTGGTGTCAGAAAGAGTAGCGGAAGAAGATGCTGAAGCCGGAGAGGAGATTGACGCAGGAGTGATAGCAGGCCTGCGGGCAGATTTCTTCCTACCGAAGGAAGGGATCTGGAGTTGGCTCATTGTCTTGCCGAGGACTGAGATGTCCAGGAGATTATCTGAGGTGAGAAGGTCCGAGCAAGAGGGAACGTTGGTCAGAACGTACCGCTTCAAGTAGTTATCCATATCCCTGCACACACTGTAGCTCAAGTCATCACAAGGAATGCCTAAGGAATGGCACAAGAAAGAACAAAAACGAGGAATGCAGATCTCGCAAGGACAGTCACTCTTATGGTTTTTATATTTTTTGTAAAAAGAAACAGAACACTCTCTGAAAGCGCTCGGGATAGGGAAACCCTCCGCAGCTGGAGAGAACCAGGCTCCCCTAACCCCAATGATGTTTTTCCTCCAGCCTTTCTCAGATTTGATCTTATCCGTGCAGATAGACCTCTTCTCAATGGGAAAAAGGTGGTAGAATGGTTTGTCCGTTCTGATCTTGCTGACCTTGTAACAAAGGAGGAGATCTACGAGGTCCAGATCCAGACCTCTGTCACGGATCAGGAGTAGCATAACGGATAGAATCCTAAGGAAATTGGGGTTTACTTGTAAAGGGGAAAGATTTAGCTTGTTAAAAACATAGCAAAAGAAAGGATGTAGAGGAAATCTAAGGAGATTGAGATGGAGGAGTGAAAACAAGGCCTCGCAGGGAAGAAGGCCAGCACCGGTTCTAATATTCACTTCCCGGGGGCAGTTTCTAATTTCTACATCATCAGGAAGTTGAAGCTTCATGCGAAGAACGTTTAGATCTACTGTCATGATGTGAGTGGATGAGGATTCCGGGGAGAGAAAAGAAGTCTTCCAAAAGAAAAATGCAAATGAAACTAACCTTAGAGAGTGAAGATGGCAGAGAAGTATTGCAAAGCCACTGGAAGGAAAACCTTTCGCAAGAGATCGCCGGAGAGGATTCAAGCAGCAAAAGGAGAGATGGAGACGGTAAAGAGGATCGATGGGGAGTTGATGGAGCTTATAAAGACGAGATAAGCCCGAGAGCCGAGGAGTCAGGAAAGCAATGAGTTGTCTTTTTGAATCTCGAAGCGCCGACCCCTAGATCTAACCGTCTATTCTCCCACACGATCTCCTCGAGCCGTCAGGTCATCATTAGCAGCCTCTAATAATTACCCCCTAATCAATAAGGGGTAATTATGGGGGCAGTTGAGGATGCGGCAAGTGGCATAGGCCGGATATGGATCGCGGAAACGAGATCGGGTCGAATGATTGAAGAAGGATCCATGTCAAAGCACCCTGGAGTGGGCCAAACGTGGGGGGTCCACCGAGGAAGGTCAAGCCCATTACAAGACCCAGCCCAGAAGGAAGAGAACTTTGGGCTATAAGCCCAATGTAATTGGTTAACTGCAAAAGAGGGTCTTGGCCTATAAATAGACCAACGGAGGGAGAGAAAAAGAAAAGAGAAAGTAAGAGTGAGAGAGATGAAACTGAATACTGTAGAATGAGAGAGATGAAACTGAATATTGTATCTTCATATATAGATAGAGAGATACTTATCCAAAAATAAAAAAAAATAAAAAAAAAAATATATATATATATATATATAGATAGATAGATAGATAGATAGAGAGATACATAGATATATAGTCCAACAAAAATGAAAAAACTAAATGCCAATTGTTCTGTGGTCTAGGTTTCTCAGCAACCAAACAAGGGATCACAGCAAATCAAATTTAATGCATTCAATTAATCATTTAAAAAATAAAAATAAAAATAACCAGTGAAAGAGCCTATAGTCCAACAAAAATGAAAAAACTAAATGCCAATTGTTCTGTGGTCTAGGTTTCTAAGCAACCAAACAAGGGATTACAGCAAATCAAATTTAATGCACTCAAGTAATCATTTAAAAAAAAAACCTAACCAGTGACAGAGCCGATACAAGTCGATCACCACCATTATTCATCTCATGAAAATCAAGAACCTGAAAATGAAATCCGATTACTGAATCAATCAAACACCGAAACAATCAAACTCTCGATCATCGATTTGATGAATGAAATTCGAGGAACATTCGAGAAGACACTGAATCGAATGGTACAGATGAAAGCATATATACACTTTCACATGTGTATATATATATACACACACACACACAGTCATAAGCATCGATGTGTGTGTGAAGAGTACCAGCCAGAGGGAGGGGTAGGAGACGAGAGTGCGGTGAAGCCAAGGGCTAACGAGGAGTACAGAGATGAGGTCTCTCTGAGGCAGTCGCGTGCCAACGATCTTCAAAACCCTAGGTACTGTTTCTCTGCTCCATAGAAGCTGCTCTTGTCCTTCTTCTACAGTTTCTCTCTCCATAGCGTCTGTACAAACCATTCATACATCAGCTTACCTCGCTACCGAATTATACATTGGCCGACTTCCTTTATATTTTGACCAAGATGTCATTTTTCCTGTTAGATTATTAAATATATAAAATGATCCATTTTTGAGGTGGAGATGGGTTAAATGATTTTAACTGTACGTGACAATTACACCCTCAGGTTTGGTTTTGAGTTAAAAACAGGTAGTTTAATAAGGTTGATTTGCCCGATATTGGATTAGAAAAGTCATTGGGTATGCAGCACCACTTAACAGCTTAAGTTTTTTGTTAAATGGGTAAGCGTCCATCCGTTACAATTGATATCAGATCCAGATCCAGACTCAACCCTTGATCCGGTGTCACGCCAAATGCTTGGCCCGGAAGACGTCCGGGTGAGTCAGCTCGGATAGGAAGGGTGGCCTGAGTAGTAATGAGGGTGTTGCGAGTTTGAGTGGGAGAAAATATAACAAGAGTTATTTGTCCTATATCGGATCCAGATGGAAAAGTGATTGGGTATAAATGGGTGGGTATAGAGCACTACCCAACAACTTGAACTTTTAGGTATATGGGCAAACGTCTAGGTGGCCTGAACCACAATGATGGCGTTGCGAGTTTGGGTGGGGGAGATTGTAATAAGGGTAATTTGTCTCACATTGGATTCGAATAGAAAAGTGATTGGGTATAAATGGGTGAGTATGTAACACTATCCAATAGCTTGAATTTTTTGGTAAATAGGCGTGTTACATGTAGCTACAACTTATACACTTTTTAGACAACAATACCTCCCAAGTTTAATAAATTGAACAATGACACCCTAAATCAAGATAAAATACCGTATTTTTTTAAAAGAATATTTATCTTCACTTTTTAAAAAAAATTGGGTTCATTAAAATGTTTTGAGAATGTTAAAATGGTAAATTCATAATTCAAATAAGCAAATTCATAAGTCAAAGGATAATAAGGTACTTTTACCTTGATTTTGGGGTGTCATTGTTCAATTTACCAAATTTGGAGGTGTTATTGTCCAAAAAGTGTCTAAGCTGTTGCTACTTATTTTTAACCCAAACATGAAGGGATATGAGTGCAATTTATCCAATTTTTTTTTTTTTTTTTTCCAAAGTAAATAACCATGTATCTTAGGGTTGTGACTTTTTGGATAGTTATGTTTTATATCAAACTCGTATTTTTAGTTTAATTTTTATTTATATTTTAAAAGGGTAGTTATGTAAATTTATTAGTATGATAACATAAAAGAATTGGTTTAGATAAGTAGAATTAATATATATATATATATATATATATGAGTAACATTAATTATAAGGGAAAAGAGGCTAGAGTTACAGCTGGGCTGAAAAGCATTTGTGGTTGCAGGGAGGTTCTCAAGCGAGGTTTGAGATGGAAGGTGGTATACATGATGACGTTAATGTATAGACATACCTTTTGGTTTCAAATTTGCCAAGATTCAAAGTTAACCTATGATGTAAGTGATAAACGTGCTAGAGATAAACTAGTGTGGCACTTCACTAATGATGAAGATTTGTGGTTAAATTTACTTACAGAGAATTGCATTTGAAGGGCTACAATGTCCATATCACATTTCTGGATATACAAGGAGGGAGGGTTCCGGATTGTGCAAATGGTCATGGTTTTTGGAGTCGATTATGAAAATTAAAGGTGAAGAAAAAGTCAGATCCATTTTATATGAAATTGTTGCTGTGGAGCAGTTGTAGTATTATCAAAGAAAAGAGGCATAGTGTAACAACCCACTCCACCACATGATATGAAATTGACCCTGTGGGTGGGTGTGCCGTGAGCGGGTGTGAGACATTGACAGGCTACCACATTAGCAAGCTACGGATGCACTATCCCACATCGCCTGGGAAATGGAAAGGTGAAGTGCTTATATGTAGGTGCGTCACTCCAATTGGTTTAAGGCCTTTTGGGGTGAAACCCAAGAGCAAAACCGTGCGGGCTCAGGTCCAAAGCGGACAATATCATATCATATAGTGGAATGGGTCGTTACAAATAGTATCAGAGCCTGACCCAGCCGGGAATGTGTCGACGGGGACGTTGGGTCTCCAAAGGGGATAGATTGTGATGACACTGTGGACGGGTGTGCCGTGAGCAGGTGTGAGACACTGATAGACTACCACACTGGCGAGCTATGGGTGCACAGTCCCACATCGCCTGGGAAATGGAAAGGTGGAGTGCTTAGATGTAGGTGTGTCACTCCAATTGGTATGAGGCCTTTTGGAGTAAAGCCCAAAAGCAAAACCGTGCGGGCTCAGGCCCAAAGTGGACAATATCATATCATATGGTGGAGTGGGTCGTTACACATAGTGGAAAATGATGCATGTTTGAGATGTGGTTTGGAGGTGGAATCCATAAACCATGTTATGTTAAGGTGCCCATACAAAGTCAAAAGTCTAGAAGGTGTGCCTAATTAGGATTAAGTACTTTATGTTGCTGCTTCTTGGATTTAATGGTTTTATAGTCTATTGAAACAATGGGAGAAATCAGCTGATAAGCAAGGACGGATCTGTGAAGGGCTCAGTGGGGGAATCCGCCCCCACTGAAAATTTTAATTATTGCATTTTATATCCCTAAATTTATATATTTTTACATTTATACCCATAAAATTTTAAAATTGCCCTCACTGAAATTATGAAAAAACCCCTCTGTATAAATTTGCTCCCTCTCATATGAATTCCTAGATCCGTCCTTGCTGATAAGATGTACTTTTTGAGCTTTTTGTTGTATAATTGCTGGTATATTTGGAAAAGTATAAATAAATTTTAGGGAAAAGTGCAAAAAAACCTCCTTGATCAGTGTAAACCCCCTGAACTATTCTCCCTTTTGCAAAAAAATTATTATGGCACTATTACGTTTGATTATCTCCCTTAAACATGCATGTGATTAGGCTGTAATTTAAAATTGACAAAACTACCCTTATTAAGGTTAGAATGCTAAATTAATTGCAACCCCAAATTGAAACTCTCACCCCCTGTTTTCATCTTTATTATTGCTTCATCATCTTCAATCCAAATCAATCTCTCAATATTAACCATACCAAGCAAACCACATGCTTCATCATCTTCAGCCTTTATTACCTTGCAACCCATTGAAGAACTCCCACCAAAGCTCCAAAAAATCATTGAACTCTTCCAAGCTGTACAAGAACCTAAGGTTAAGTATTAACAACTCTTACTCTACGGCCGCAACTTGACTTCACCAGATGGTTTACTCCTTCGAAGACTCTCCGGGCCGGTCGAATCAAGAGATTTTGAAAGTTTTCTCAGAATTTAGCTGTGAATTAAACATCGAGTGATCTTTATCAACTACAAGCGGCATAGAGCCGATTGAAAACTCGAATTCAGGATTAAAAATTGATGTTGGCATTTCAGACTCAAAAGATCGAATGAATCCTGGAGTAGGCACTGGTGATGTTGCCAGCGGGTAAGTGACACTTTTGCAATCCTTGCGTCAATGATGGTCTCTATTCAAGTTTATCTGATTTTTTTTTTTTTATTTTTTTTAATAAATAGATTGCTAAGGAATAGAGTTTCTACACAAGAAGCTTAAGAACCAAAAATTGTACGTGAATAATCAGGAATCAAGAAAGAGTTGTAGGATAGGAACTAAATATTAGATGAGCAGATCTTGACTCTTACAGTTGCTATGTTGTAATGGAACAAGCTAGGGTTTCAACAAGTGAATTTCCTCTTTCCTTTAATTTCTTTTATTCACCCGAGTTAGAGATTGATTGGGGAAAAATGAAAAAAATAAAAGAGAGAGGTTGTGATGGCTGCCATGGACGATGGGGGTTGTTGTAGGGTTTAGAGGGAGAGCTATGAGTATGATTGCAAAGGCTTTGAATGGGTGGTGATTAGCGCGTGGTGTGGTGTGGGTGCACGTCTGTAATAGTAACTTTAAAGATGTCATTTTATTAAAAGGGCAATTCGGTAATCTAGCACCTACAGTGACCTCTGGTGACGGAGATTTTTAGTTTTGTCTTTAAATTGCACTTTTTCAATAGTTCAGGGAGCATTACTTAGTTCAGGGGGGTTTTATGCTTTTGGCTGGGGGGTTTATTACACTTTATCCTAAATTTTAGGAAAATACTTCTCCATGTGAGGTGATTCCATTAAAACATGACGTGTGTTTTAAGATTAAAAGTAGATCCGTTAAAAACAAGTATAATCCATCTAAAAAACATGAGTTTCCCACAATCCACAAATTCGGCAAATCCTCCTTTCTACCTGTGATACCCCTCGGATCTGAGACACGGGTTGATCAGGCCCAGGTCCAAACCTGAGGGAATATTAAACAATTAATATTTTATAATGAACACGGAATACAAAATAAATTAAGAAATGAAATTAAAGCTGGAAGGAACTAAAAATAGAATCCGCAAAATATTATAATTATTAAAATCGATCAAACCCAAACTCTAAAACTCCATCAGTTTACAACTTGGGAATCCATCTCTAGTGGACCCCTATTAAACATCCAAACGGAAGATAGAACAACTGTAATAAACGTCCAGAAATAAAACTATAGAGAGAGCCCTACGTCGTCGGAAGAGTGAATAGAAACCTCTACTCAGCACGAACACGTCTAAGCCTGGAACTGTCGTGTACCTGAAAAATAGAAGTGGGTCAGGCCCACGCGCAAGTTCTATACTACTACTATCCAAACAGAGGCCCGATACGCATGTACATCCTAAACAATTCAACAATAGCTAATAGTCCGTAAATATATATATAGTCACACTAAAGGACTCTTACTGGACTACAGGCCGGTCTCAACCTGAATAGAGGTAACATGCTAAAACGCACACGAAGTGGGCATATGTACCTATACCTAAACAGGGTACACCTCCAACCATCGTAGCCAGCTACACATCCCGATGCATATACGCTCCTTAGCCATCGGTCCTGAGGCTCAAGCTCATACCGAGGCACCATAACAGTACATATATAAAATCCATCCAAAATCCATGGTATTGCCGCTCAACAAGTAGTTGCCATGACAATACAAATCCACGGGACTTAACT